AAGGCAAAAAAAAATAATAATAATAATGTGAAGTTCTTCAGGAATTTTATGATTCTCTCTTTATTTTTTTTATTTTTTTAATAAATGACAAAATTTTTTTTACAAATTTTATAAGTAATGACAGAATAAGGATACAAATTTTATAAAAAAAGTAATTTCTTATTTTAAACATATATGGGCAATCTATATGAAATATTAAATATTGTCTATGTAGCTGAATTTGCTAAAACTAGATTGTGCAGCAAAATGTATGTATGTATATTGACAAAATTTTTTAAAAATCTAAAAATAAATTTTAAACTTGGTATAATCTAACTTCCAAAAACAAAATGTTCTCTTTATTAATGTTCTAAGATTGCCCATATAAAAGAATCAAAACTAAAAAGTTGAAGAAGTTTAAAATCCCCTCAATCTATATGAATAAAACCGAAGTTTAACACCCCTTATCATAAGAGGATTTTGGTAAAATAAAATTATAAAAAACAAAAATAATATAACAACCATAACACTGAAGTAAGTAAATAAAAAAAAAGTTGGTAAATTTTTCTCATAAAATTGAATTCTTAATTACTTTGGGATTTTTTGATTTTACTGATTTGCGTATTGAAAAATTTTAAACTTAAATCTACTAGGGGGTTAAATTTTAAACGATCATTTCTTTTATTTCAAAGTTTACTGATTGCTTTTATGAATTAATTTATTGTTTAAGAATTAAAGCAATTAACAACAATTCCAATTTAAAGATTTCAAAAGAGTTGAAAATATAAAACACCTACATTCATGTTTTATATAATCAAACTGTTCTATTAAATATTGTGATTTCTTAATTATAACTTGAAATCCAGATGTATATTGCTAAATAAATGAAAGCTATTGAGCGATGCATTTTTTTAAGGTGGGGAAATTTAATTTTGGAGACGAAACAGAAAAGTACAAAACAAAAATTGATGCAAATTACAAAAAAACGTACAATACAATCCTATTATCAAAAAATATTAAATATGTGTCTATTGTGTATAAGTAAGTACATATATGGCGGCAAAGTTTCGAACAAGACAGGAAATTACAGATGTAATATTTATTTTTTAGCTCTTCAGGTACGAACTTACATGGCCCTACATTTTAATGAGGAATAATGTCTTGAACTCATTATGATATTAATGATTATATATGGTACACCTTTCGCAAAACTATATTAAATTAGATATGAAGCAACAATGAACCGCAACTCAAGTGGTGGATCATGTATCTCTCTTCAATCTTTCACACCTACAGCGCTCCTTCGAGACCTATTTTTCCTATAAATTCGAGTATCTTGTAGGGATCTACTTATCGCAGCCCTCTCGCTGCTAGAAAATTGCTTTTCTGCTTTATCTGCAAGGCCCTCACCTTCCGGTTCCAACGTGCTCATATAACCTCTGAGTCGGCAGTGTTCCGTTAGGAGACTCATTTGCACTCTCACCTAGCTTCTACCCATTTGTTTCATTTTCGTACAGTCGAGGACGGAATCTCAATTGATTTCGCCCCTTATACCTCGTTTCTGAGTTCATCATGGATCGCCTGCGGTCTAATTTCACAAAATAGGACCGCCCCTTTAAAGAATGTGTTGGCCTTCCTCCTTGCTGGTACATTAACAAGCTCATTACTCAATATGCCAACTTAATTAAATCATTAAGGCTATCAAGGAAGCCGCACATCACCATGGAGACCATATGTATAAGTACATATGTGGGTACATATATAAACTAATAAAAAAAAATGCCAAAAAAATTATTATTAAAAAATATAAGCACAATACAAAAACTAAATACATAATGTATGTATCTACCTAAATTTGTGAAAAAGGTACATACATAATAATATGTTCTTTATTTAGTAAAAACAGTGCATAATCCTTCGTATGAAGTCAACTCGATTAAAAATAATTAAATTTGTATGTAAGTCTTTAAAATTTTTAATTCCACTTCCTCATTTCAAATCATTCAAACATCGCTAATATTATTTCTTTTTGTAACTAAAAGTTGTGAAAAATTTTAACTTTTTTTATTACTGTTCTATAGTACTCAAGACGCTACTAAATCTTATATCAGGCGAATATTATATACATAATTGGCGATGTATATACTAAGGTTTGCTACTATTCCTTACTTCTAGTGATCTACAGGTGTATACATATATATATTATATATATGTACAGATCACTGTATATAATATAATCCATTACATATAATATATATGTACAGATCATAGTATATAAATATAATCCAGGAGGAAAGCAGGAATTTTAAACTAATTAAGACAGAGTTTCACTCAAACTAAAAAGATCACTGTACTTCAGCACGTTTCACTCCACATTAACATATGGAATTCATACGAGAATATGCGCATATAATAAAGATATGCTAATTCAAACTGCAAAAAATAAAGCAATAAAAAATTTATTTGGGTACCACAGCAGAAAGCAACGCGGCAAATTCATTTAAATAACAATATATTACCAATAAAAATAGTAATAAAAAATAAAGTGGCAAATCAGGTGCACTTTATATTTAATAATAACATTAGTAAAAATGTAAATATTGTTTTGAATAATGAATTACACACACAAAATACAAGAAATGCGAATCTTAACACCCAAGATGCAATATACAATATATATGCACTTCCAGTGCAGAATATTAAAACTGTTTATATTAGAAAAATTTTAATCAAAAACTAAAGAATATCTGAAGTTGTAGGTGCTAATGATAATTTCAATTTCAACGTCAATATTTCATAAATAATCGTTATCAACTAAAAAAAATTTAATTTTTTTGTTTTCTTTACTAATGTTTTTTTTTTAATTTCTTTTTTGAGTAGTAATTTATATAAAATTATTTGTTTTTGTTGTACATTTACTTTTATTTTTACTTTTTTTGAATGAATTTGAAATTAAATAAATTAATTTTAAACTCTGTACAAGCTATGAAGCTTTTTTGAGTAGATGAATAAATAAATAAATAAAAAAATTATTATATACTCGTATACGAGTATCTTAAAAATTTATTTATTTTTTTTCCAAAACTTGTAAGTCGAAACAAACCCCACAACCTATCTATTTCTGATAGACTTCATGATAATATTTAAGGAATGAGCATAAGGATTCAGCCGCCGGCAATGCACGATCCGACATTTTTACTTTTAATTTGCTTGGCGTACATCGAAAATGATATTTAGAAATCCGTTCAATGCAATATTGGCACCTACCTTCCGCTAAAAATCGCAGTGTTGTTACCAATTTAATTTACCGAGGAATTGCAGTAGAACGTATACGAATTTCAGATTCTCTTCAATTTCTTCTAATACATAAACGAAAGCTTTCTTGTTCAACCTGAACTTTTTTTATAAGTCTAAATGATATACATATACTTCTAACATGTACATGCAAATATTCAATCCAGTAAAATCATATTTACATATTTTCTGGCACATCAAAAATATTAGATTTCTCCAGTAATATTTCTCGTTCTTTTGCGTAGCACCGATTGTATTCCTCCTCGCTATCGCTTAAATGTAATACGAATTATTCCAACCTATTTTTAAATACATACGTATTTTTATTTTATAGAATTGTCATATACACCAGGAGACGTTAGACATGAAAGGTACTTGCGGTAGCAACTATATATTTATGCGCATATGGCGTGATGCAATGAACGTTTGTGAGAGAAATCAGTTTAGTTTAAAATACAGTTGACAGAAATACGAGCCAGGACCATTTTCTTTATCTCTACGTTCATATATGTACTTTTAATATGTGTGTATGAATTTCAAAAAAAAATTATTTACCTGTCAATGAAAGCATGAGACTGTAAAAACTTTTTAGAAAGAGACAGTACTTATTTCTTCACATATGTATGAAGGCATGAAGGAGTAGTTCACATAACTTAGGATTTTAGCAATCATATTAGTTGTTCACACTCTTCAGCCAAAATGACTCCCCTATTAAGATAAATTTTTGAATTATTATTAATTAAATATCATAAGTATTTCATGTAGCATAAACGTAAATTTTTATTTTTTACATAAAAAACTTGAAAACATGCATATATACAAACCTAAAAGATGCACATAAATATACACTTACGCATAATTAAGACTAATATCCATAAGTTTTATCGATAATACAAAAAAGGTACATGCTGGTGTTATGTGTGGACGTACATACATACGTACTTGGATAAAACTGTCCTATACAGATTGATGCAAGATGAAAATATAAAATCTTACCTTCGATTCACAACGTAACTAGCAAAATACATTAAGTTTTCAAAGATGTTAAAAATTAAATGTGTCATTTTTTATTCTAAAAATACTTATCTAAAATAACACATGTACATACTTCATACACATAAATACGTACTCACATACATATTTGTTACTAATCAATTTAAATATGACCAAAAGTTGTACAATCCAAAACTTAGTTTAAAAATAATTTGACATATTTATTAAGTATTTAAATTAACAAAGTCATAATTTTAATTTCTGACAGATGCTTATATAATATTATTTATTTTTAGTGTTCCTTTTTTGTAAAACACTTTACTTTGCTGATAAAAAAATATATTTTAATCTTAAATATATACACATTATGTGAATTCGAGAGAGAAATATACTTATCGAATAGTATTTGCAATAGGAAAAACAAAGACAGATACATGAGTAATTTTTTTTTAGACACAACACAACGCTACTGATATCTTGCTGAAAAGAGAGAATAAAAAGCTAGAAACTTTACTACCAGTATCATGGCAGAAAACAACAAAAAATATGAAGAAAAAATTTATTCACCGCATAATCTCACACTCACTAAATGATTCAGAAGAAAACACGGTGTGTTCTTTTTTCACTTTTCTTCGTATATGTGTATTATGTATTCATGTACATTAGAAACTCTGTGTAAAATTAGGGTGAACTCGCAGAAATAAATTCAGTGGCATTAAAACTCTCAACGATTATAGAGAGTAAGTGATATTTGTTGTGTTAAAATAAAATATACAAATATTGTAGTGGTATATTTTGCATAGAGCATATAAATAGTGCGTTATGCTATACATACATATATCTTTGAATATTATTCGGTTTGCTGATTATTTCCATATGGATTTCAAATCAAGGTTAATAACAGAATTTATGCGAACACACTGAAATCTATTTTATGTTCTTAGGAGAAATTCTAATTTTTAAAATTGACACAAAAACTAAATCTTTTTGTAAAAAATAATATTAATTATTTCATTTATATGGCTAGCCCAATATGTATGTATAGGTATTAGAATGCGTATGTGTGCAGGAATCACTATTTAAAGTTTTTATAATCAAAAGTGAATTACATATTATAAATTTTGAGCTTAAGAAGTGTTTTCCAACCTACGTACAATTTTATTTAGGTTTGATGCGATAAAATCGAGTTCGCGTTGATAAATAATTTTAAGTTTTTATAAAATAACAGTGTACAATCAATTAAACTGGCTAGTCTAATAAAAATAAGAGCTGATGTGGCCCAGAGGCAGAAGCTTTTCCGTTTAATGGAAAGAAATTTTTACGCCGGTGGTAGACAACATGATTTTAAAAACAAAAAAATTATTTGGAACGAAATTACTGCTATATTGAACACTTTAGGTCCGCCAAGAAGTTGTGCCAAATGGAGAAAAGTAAGTACATATGTATATACATACATTGTCCTACTTTATGCTCTAGCTTTCCGGATTTTGAACACTTAAAAATTTTGTTTTGCTCAAAAGAATTTTTCGCTTTTGCGAATCTTAAGTTATTTATAATATAGAATATATTAAGTAATAAGTATAAATATTTACATAGTATAATATTAAGTTTTTGAAAAAATTGAAAAGATTATTTAAAAATATGTATAATTTTTTTAATGCTAATTCTTCCTCAACAAAAATAGACAACTAAATAATAAAACATAGAATCAATAAGTGAATAATTTATTTTTTAAAATAAATTTCTTTTATGAGTTAGTAATGTAAAATAATAAAAAATAAAACAACGCAAACGGGTAAAGCAAATTTTTTTAAATTGCTTCTTAAACTTTAAATGAATTTAGCCCCTATTTTTAAAGAAAGCAAATCATTGGTTTATTACTTTTAATATTTTTTTATGTATTTTAGTTCTGGACAGATATATTGCTAAGAGTACGAAAAAAAATTGTTATACGTGATAGCTCAAATGAGAATATTACGAAAAGAGTTGAGTTCACCAAAGACGATTTAGAAATATTACGCATTACAGGAGGAGAACAGAAATTAATCAGCGAATTTAGGCCTAGGACATTAACCAAGCAAGCAAGTGAAAGTAATTTATAACGGTTATAAATATAAAAATAAAATATTTAAGAATGTCATTTATTTTAGAAGCGAGTAACATAGTGAACTATGGTGTTGATGATTCTAGCAGAGGTTCATCAGAATTTGAAATAAAAAATCAACCTCTTTCTGAAAATTATAATGACACAGATGATAACCAAAGTAGAAATAGTAATGATGATATGATTGCTGTTAATGATGATCAACGAGAAATTAACAGAGATTTAGAATTGAATGAAGAACCTGATATTCATATAAAACATTTAACAAAAACTAGTTACAATGAATACAATGAATACAACAAGAGTGATCGCACAAACTATTCTCAAACAAATTTGCAGTCGAATTCTCGAAAACGTCGGCGTTCTATAACACCCATAAATATTTATCAAACGAAAAAAAAAATAGCAAATAAACAGCAATATTTTGCTGATCAAGAATGGTCAAATAATTTTGACTATGACGAGGAAAACGATACGCAAAATTTAGAAAATGAAGATAGTTCAACATTACCCAAAAATAATACATTGCCTTCAATCTATAATGAATCAGTATGCAAAGAAGAAATATTAAGTGTGCAGAGGGAGACATTAATTGAAATACGACGATTAGGTGAATTGCAACAAGAAACAAATCAACTTCTAAAAATCTTGATCGAAAAAATTGGCCATAATACTTCTAATATGTCTATGGAACATATTCCACAATTAAATGAGGGTCAATTTAATGATATTTCGGAAGTTATTATCAAAAAAGAAATATAAATTACTAATAATTTACAACCTCAACCTAGCTTTGTACAGAATTAAATTTACATTACAACATATGGTTTTATACTAAAAATTCTTAAATAGTTATACAAAAAATATTTTGCAATTGAATATACTTTATCATTTTTATATTTACAAACACATACTAGCCTAGCAATGCATTTAAATATTTGAAATTAAATTTGTTTATAGACCCAAAACATATTATAAAATATTAATTTCTCAAGCATTCTCGTAATTTTAAAGAAAAAATTAAAACGAATATCCGGGACCAAAAATATTTGTTTGATCCCGGATATTCTTTAAACTTTTTATTTAATGTAGAGTATTATGCAATCGTAAATAACAATGTTTAAATTTAAAAATTTCAAAATTACAATATCTGAATAACATAAAAATGACAAAACCTTAAAACAATATCAATAAAATAATAAAACCACGAGGTAAAGTAAGATTTTTCATTTTTGCGCTAGAATGTGAATCTTATTATCATGCTTATCAGTTAGGATAGGACTTTTCTATTAAGAAAGTTGTTATAATAAAATATTTAATAACACTAATTTAAAATTTAATAATAATTACACAATGATCATAGTGGTAAGAAATTCATTGATTCCGCGTTTTTAATCTTTGGTAATGAATTGTTGAAAAAGAAAAACAAATTTTAAAATCTTAAATTTTACAACTTTGAAATTGCAAAAATTTTAATTGTTTATTAATACAGTATTATACGATTTCGTTATCAGTCATTTATACAAAAAAAAACAGGATTCATAAATTTCAAGAATGATATAATTGATAAAATAAAAGAATAAATATTTTTATTGTGCGAAATCGAAAGCATCTTAACCTACCTAGGTAGGTTAAACCTTAAAAATTTAAGTTCATCAATGTGCCGATTTGCCTCTGTTACTATTATCATTTTAAAATTTCAATCCAAAAAATTGCATGTGTGTAGTTAGGAAATTCAGTGCATAAATTACCTTGTTTATTTGTGGTTTATATGTTTATTTCTTACCCAAAAATAAAGTAATCCCTCCCGAAATTGGAACATTCGTTTTTTTATTAAGTCTCGATTAAAATATCGCAAAGAAAATACAACGCTATATAGTTTATTATTATGTACCAGAAATTTTATATAGTCATTTACAAATATATATGTATATATATATATATATATATATATATATATATATATATATATATACATATTGTTATTTCTAAATACATGTGTGCATCAATTTACTATGTGATTACTGATTATATTGGCAAATATATAGTTCTTTTTCTTTAATACTCATTCCACTTCAATATCTTTTACGCTGGTTCTTTTTCTTATTTTCCTTTTATACTAGTAAAATATCAACTTTCAATTTCACTGTACATATACATATAATCCAATAAATATGTAACTGAAACTTTTTGAACTCGAGTAATAAATAAATGAATATATTATATTATAATCTATACATACATACATTATCTATGTCCTTATATATGTATATGCATAAATATTTTTAAATCTACTTTGTCGAAAAACAGTTTAAGAGACAAAATGTATGAAGAAAACAACATTTAATTTCAAAGTTTCATCTTAACACAAAACAGTATATGTACTAAACTTAAATAGATATTTATATATGTATATATGTTATGTATATTCATAAAAAATAAAGTAATATGATAACCTTTTATATACACATATTTACATGGAATTCTTGCCATAATGCTAACTTTAAAATATATCTATGCATAATTGTATATCTTTGGACATTTTTAAATAGATACAGGGTACTCGCAGCATTTCAGAGTTTGCTGTAAATTATTTTAAAAGAAAATCTTCTCTTCCTTGAGTGAGATGAGAAATTGTTAAAATTGAAATGGAATGTTGGGTGGAAATTTTTTAAGTAACATATAATTCTTTAAATAACTTATTTATTAAATTACAATTAATTTTAATGAATGACATATTTATATGCTTATGACAATATCATAACATGATATGGTAACTTATTTTTCCAACTTCAGAGCTTTGAAAACTGCACATCACTCCAGACATACGCTCTTTCGCTGAACTATCTGATTCAAGTTTAAAATTACAATTGCACAAAAAAGCAGTTTTAAAACATTTTAAGAAGAAAAATGTAGTATGTTGGTAACACAATATAGTTATCAAATTGAACAACATATATACACATACTTGTGTTCAAATTTTCAATTCCTTATTTGGCAAATAATAATGTAGTATTAGCATCTTGAAAATAAGAATTTTATTGCAAACAACCTATATATAAAATCATATCCTCGTTATATAAATATAACAAGTACATACATGCTCACGTGTACATATATAATAAATAAAAATATTATTATACTAGAATGCATATCGAAGAAAATAAAGATAACTTCTCCCTTATCTTTAAGTTACCAAGAAATTTTCCAATAAAAATAGCAACTTCGACCTCCGAAAAACAAAATCAAAAAAATATTAAATTTAAGTAAAAAATTTGTTCCCCTTCTTATCTCGGAAAATTGGAAACGATCTGTTTTGAATGTTTTACAATTATATGATATTTTCTATGAACATACATAAGAATATCTTCGTGTAATAAGTGGAATTTTATTCATCAAAAAATTTAAGAAATGTTTCATATTCCTAAATTTAAACCATTTAACACAAATTATGATATAGCACAGTAAAATTTAGAAGGTTTAATTTGACGAATTGAAATTTTCAATTTTTCAATTTAAAACAAATACCTACTTTCCTAAATTAGAAAACTCAATAGCTTTGACGTTAAGCTTCATTATGACATTAGAATCTATAGATTTTTTTAACAAGTTTCGGATTTATCCGTATAAAATTATTTTATAAAAGAGCAACTCAATAATGTTCACCAAAATATAAGAAGCAAAGTAGGGTAACCCTTGATTTTATATACAAGGAGTTAGTTACATATAAATAAATACAAATGTACCTACATAGATATTAAAAAATGATATAATAATAGTAATGAATATGCATGTGTAATATTGATAGCCAATTTATCCTTCTCAATTAATGATATAAGGTAACCCTAAACCTATTATTTGGAAATTTACAAATGAAAAAAAAAATTGTTATATCACCATTTAAAGGAAACCAATATTTAGAAAAAAGCCCCCACAATATTTTTATATTTTATCAAAAGTAAAATACAATATTTTTAAAAGTTATATTAACCGACATTCAAGATTTTCATTTATTCATATACATATGTACACATACTAAATAGAAACTCTCTATACATGAACTTACATATTATGTACATATATGTATGTATGTGCATAGAATGGAAAATGTTTATTTCCGAATTTTAATGAGTTCTGTTTGAGAATTTTCTTGTTTTTATTTATTTTGCATGCATGTTTATTCCTGTTTATTCATGTCTTAAATTTTTCCAGATCCTTTAGTTTTGTAAAGGTAATTTTACTTTTAGGTGATTTTTTTTTAAAATACCCTTGTAAGTTACTGAATTGCATACATACATACATACATATTATATTAGCTAAAAAATCAATCGTATAACCCAAATGCTTAGACTCAACTAAACATAAAAGCTACATGCTTCCTTTATAAGCTATATCTACATTATGTGTATAACAATTGAAAACAAAAATTAAACTGAAAATTGTGTTTCCTTCGATCTCCAAAAAGTATTGAATTTGAAATTTATTGTAAATTATTATATTCGTTTAAAATAGCTAAAGAAGAAAACTCTAAAACGAAAACAAGAAGATGTAATAAGGAGAAACAACCCAAAGAACAGATTTACTCTATACTGATTGGTTAGAGAAAATCATCACTTTGCTTCATTCATCCGCGATTAATATTCCAAACTCATACACAAACCAAAACCAGTAAAAGTACAGAAGAAAAAAGCCATGTACGAGTACATGGCTCGTACTTACATACATATAATAATATACATTACAAAAAAAATAAAAATAAAATCAAAGTAAATATCAAATCCTTTAGGCACGTAAACCTAGGAAAAAAATATAGAACCAAATGAAATACAAATTATCAAAACGAATACCCGGTGTTATTTTAAACCAAAATAAGAAAATCTTAAATAAAATTCCAATACAACTAACTACCACAGTAGAGTCTACAATTATAGTTCCGTAATGTGGTACTTAGTTAGCTTAAAACTTTTATATATATATTTTCAAAAAAAGTACTTGTTTATGAGAACTCATATATATTTCTAAAAAACTACTAATACCACAAATTGATGTTGTTATACATTAGCAAACCAATGTTTGCAAAAATATATATACATTCAACAAACGTAAAATATGCAAAATTTGAGTGCATAACAAGATTAAAAATTTTGAATTACTTTAAATTATCATAACGTTCCCTCAATTTCTTTAGTATTTGTTTGTTGAGAAAAAACACTTATTTTATTTTATTAATTAATTTTATTAATCATAGTACTTTAGGTTCCAAATTGTTAAATATTTCACGTTATTCTAAGATTTTACTGTACTGTTGTTTTTCATACTGAAACAGGTATCCCAACTAACACAAGATATTTAGAATAGGGATATTCTCTGTTGAAAAAGTATGTATGAACAAGAAAATTAGTAAAATAAGTTTAGAGGGAACATTAAAAATATTTGGTTGATACATACTTTAAATTCTATATAAAATACATATAATATTATATAGAATATAATATATAATGTATATAGATTAATTATAATTAAAAACACCTTTAACCTTTAAAGTAATTTTAAAAGCAATAGTTAAAATAGATATAATACGTAAAAATTTCTTCTTAATTCATGATGCGACATCTATACTACTTCTCTCAAAATTTTATGAAAAGAAATTTTAAGATTTTGGACACTCACCATAAAATATTTATTTTTTCAATTTTTTTTTAATGAATATATTTCAAAATTTGACCGCAAGAGAACATTAGTGTTTGTAAGTACCCACTTACAAATTCACTTACCTTACCCGTGTTACATTTTTCAAATACACAGTGTGGTGAATTCTTTGTCACCATTCCCACATAAATTTTTTTTTGAAAATTATAAAATTTGCGGTGAATTCAAAAAGTATTTTTTCATAACCGCGTGCATTCCGGGAGCTCAAAATTTTATTTTAACGGGAATGAAAAATTTTATAAAAAAAATTTATTTTTCAAATTAATGAGGTAATAAATTTTCTGTAAACAGGGGATGTGTTATATACAATATTGTAAAATAATACATAATAATTATAATTCTTGCTACAATGGGTACTACAGTCAAATTTCTAGATTTTGCGTTTTTATTAAAATTTATTGTACTTATGAATAATTTATCGTCATGTAACGCAAAAATTAAAAAGAAAACAAAATGAGATGACACTTCTACAAATTCTACGAGTATGTAAATTTAGCGTACATTAAGAAAGTTGTGCAAACATATTTAAACAAACATATAGATCCTTCTATGGAACAATTTATTTTGTTTACTAATAAATAAATAATTTTAAATTTAATACTTTGAAAAACTTTTATGGCAATTTGTAATCTTTGTATATAATATTTAGGATTGAATCTTAAAACAATAATTTTCTTATATTTAAAAATTAGGTAACAATAATAATACATATTTTAAACATTCATGCTTCATGAGTATATATAAAATGGTTTAATCTCAACAATAAGTTTCTTCGTTTTACGAAATTACAATAAAAAAACTTAAATAACTAATATATAAACTGTTTTTGATATAAAATTAAAAATATATGTACATAAATATGACTGAAGTTGTAATAAAAAAAGTGTAAAAAGGAATTATTAATTTAAATAAATTTTAATAATAGATTAAAATAGAATAAATAATAAAAAAAAATTAACATTTAAATAATTACAATAACACTATTTAAAAATATAGCCTTTTGGATATTACCATCACTAACCTCTCCGACTTTTGTTATATAAATACACAAAATACTAACATCAATATAAATAAAATAATTGTTTTCTTTTATAGTTGTAAAGTTTCCCAAAAGTTTTCTTTAAGATTTTAAAAAAGTACTATCTAACATATTATATTTTGCTAAATCAATTAAAACTCCAACCATACGTTCTTTGAAAATAGGTGTTGTTCTTTCGTTCAACATTTCGTATTCTTCCAATAAAGCTGTTGTTTTTAAATCTTTATCTTCATCACATTCACCGTCATCTGATGAACTTTCAGATAATTCTCTCATAGCCTCTGATGCTTCATCTAAATTTGGTAAATCTGATGAATCTGATATAAAGAAAGGTACTGCATAACAGGCCATGCAAAAACCATATATACCATGTTGGTGAATTTGATTTTCAAAAATCAGACGTGGGAAAATTTCATTTGGATCTATATCAAAATTTCTTAATGTATTTGCTAATTCGTTATAATAATTATCCTTGAAATCATCAAAATATTTATCACGTAGTTGTTTGCCAGTACATGTAAATAAATAATGTACAAGATCTAGTACTGGTGCTGAATAACGAGCCATTTGGAAGTCTATTAACTTTGCTGATACTGGAATGTTATTCTCCTAAAAAGAAATATTAAAAAATTTTTTTAATGAATTTATTTAATATAATTTTAAAATATTTTCCGATTTAAAATAATCCCTTCAAAATAGCTGAATAAAAATGAAACAAAAAAATTTTCTGAATAGCATTTCGTTTTCAATATGCTTCATGGCAACTCACAGAATTTCATCTGACGAATTTCAAATAAATTGGAAAAAATTCTGAAATGAAGAATATTGAGTTAATAGTTTGTGTAACCCTTCTGGTATTGATACCATTTTAAATAAAGTTGGGTCAAACCAATGGTTTGTATTGTAGCACTTTTCCCTTCAACAAGTGAAAATTCTGCTTTTAAATACAGTCCATGTATACCTATCCCACTATTAAAATTATTTTCATTCATATATAAAACTCTTTCTAGGATTGCATATATTTAGGATGATACATACATGCAGTCTTTGAAATAAAGAAAAATTAATATAAAGAGGGGTTAACATAATGCTCGATTTTAAGGTTTAATTGTGTGAGTTAAGAAAAATAATTATATTTTTTACTGTCATGGAATTTACCGTTAACTTTTTGCGTTTATAGAAATTTGAAAAAGCTTGCGGTTTCGGAAATATAAGGTGTCAAAAATTCAAATTTTACAAATTTTAAAGGGGCGATAACTTGAGAGGGGGTGGAGATGGAAAAAAATTTTCTTCCAATGAAATGAACTGTTTGTTAATGTCTAAAAGCCCCTAAAATTTCAAGCTTCTGCAGGCTGGGGTGTAGAAGAAAAACGAGATCAAAAATTTGGAAAAAAAGGACTTTAGATAACGGTAAATTTTTGAAATTTTGCGTTTGCAAAATTTCAAAAATGCTTATGGTTTGATTGCAACAAATAGTTAAAAAAGGCCATTTTTAAGGTTTTGGGGGGGTATAACTTCTAGAGGGGGAGATAGGTAAAAATTTTCTTCTACGGAAGTAAGTTTCTAGTAAAGATTTATGTACATATAAAATTTCAGCTTTCTATCTTCAAGGATGTAAAAGTTTTGTAAACAAAAAAAGTGTCCACGGGCGGACGGACGGGCGGACGGACGGACGTACGGGCGGACGGACGGACGGACGGACGGACGGACAGAGTGAAACTAATAAGCACTTTTTTCAAAAAATTTTTTGGAAAAGTGCTAAAAAGTGAAATATATTTGTTACATTTTAACTTTAACAAAAAATTAAACTTTATTGTGTTGCTACTTAAATGCAAAGCTCTGAAACATTGAAATTCTATTGTGAATGAAACAATAAAATGTCCAATAAAAAATGTCCTTAAAAAGTAGCAAGAAAATGATATTTACCGTTATATTTTTATAAGAAAAATTACAGAAGTTGAGAAAAATTCATATTGGATTATAAGAATATACATACATATGTATAACTCTATATATATATATATATATTTATATATATATATATATATACTCAACTACATACGTAAAAATGAAATTCGCATAAAAATTATTTGAAACATAAAGTCTCAACACACTTAATGGAATAAATATTTTTAAATGTTTTCCATTTAAGTTGAAATTAAGTTGATTTTAAAATATATTTAGAATATGTAATTACTTAAAAATTCATGTCTTAACATGTACTTACATTGTACTTGTACAAAATGTTATTATTCCAAAAATCTCCATGACAAATAGCAGCATAAGGTTCAATTGCACTTCCATCTACTAACTTAATACAAATTTCTTTGAAATTATCGTATAATACAGAAATAGAATTAATAATTTTGTCTTTATTTTTTAGTACTCTGGAATGCAGTTGGTTTTCCGTTTCAAGCATTTTAATTGCAGCCTTCATATATTTTTTACCAAATTCGACTGATACTTGTGATAAAGCTTCTGAAAACAAATTATCTGTTCTTATATTATTAACAATATCATCAAATTTTTGTGGATTTTTGGAACGTAAAACAAAAGATAACGCGTGATATTTTGCTAATTCCTTAATTGCCAATACTACATGATCATAAGTAACGGTATTTTTACGATTATATCTTAAATATCCAGATTGATGAAGATCTTCTAAGAGAAGAAATTCATTTTGTGGTTCATTCGACGATGAGTATAATATTGGAGCGATCTTTAAATCAATTAGCTTCTTCTCGTGTTCGTAATCGTCATATATAAAAATATTTGAATTCTTTTGCAAAGTCATATTGTTACTTTGCAATTTCATATATTCTAAAAAAATATTTTTGTATACATAAGTTTCACGTTGATAATATTCCACAACTTTCATAGTTTGCCGACGAGCCTCATTTTTAGGTGATATTTTAACAATACAATAAAATTGATCATTTGGTTTAATATCCTTAATGTTTTCAATTTCATGGCTATCATCTTTTTCATTATTATCTTTATTATTTTTCACTTGATCATTATCATTTAAATATATTTTTATTTGTAATACTGAACCATAGGAATTTTCTCCCCGACCTGATACCGGTAATGTTTCATATTTAAAATTATTTGTAGAAAATTTGGTTTCCACTAAAGTATTTAACGCCTCCATAACATTTTCAGGAATATTTGTAATTTCTGTTGTTTCATTATTAATTGATAGACTTGGTGATATTATCGATTCAGCAACATTTGTATCAACTGTAATAATTTTTGTTACAGTTGTTTTGGTTGCTTCAGTTGCATTTGATAAAATTTCATTATTACTAGTGTCAGATCTTTGTACTATATTTTTTACATAAATAGGATTTTTATTTTTACTATCACGAATTTGTTCACTTTGATCTGATTTCATATTTATATTTATTTGACGGAATAAATTTATTCGCCAAAATTTTTACGTAAACTTTTTCCTAACAGTTTAGAACAAACTGAATCTAACGTTTTATGTTCTAGCGAATTTATATTCGCAACGATCACGTAATTTTGTTTAGTATATATTCAATATTTCTTGTTATATTCTCTCTTGTATTACTTTTTTATTTTTTTCTTGTTATTATTCCGCTACTTATCGATATTAAAATTTGCTTGTATATGTAACTGAACTTTTATGTATACTTAAAAGTATATATGTATATCATATTGTGTTTTATTTACGTTATGTTTTTTTTTTCGATTATAGATCACGATACTAAACGATTTTACAAATATGATCATGCGGGATGACAGTAAGCTTCAGATTCATTCACATTTCATATTCATTCTGTAAAATTTGGAAAAATTGTTACTTACGTTAATAAGATATATATATGTATATATGTACATAGGAAATACATACTTAAAAGCTTTGTGCTACAAAAATATGGTATTTATTTTCTCTAAAATCTTTCTTGTATACAAAATAAATGTTTTTTTAAACGTACGTACTTGTATTATGTACATATGTACCTAATTAAAATTTCATAAAAAAAACTAAATAAATTAAATGTAATAATTATCATATCGGCAATACTTCTAAGGTATGGATTAAATGCTAGATGAATAAATTTTAAAACAGAAAATTATTTATTATTTTGTGCCGTTTTTAATAACAGGATTCAATGTTCAAGGTTTCACTCATATGAAGCCTTGAGAATGTTTGGACTCGAATTTTAAATTCTAAAAATTATATCAATTATTTTATTTTGTATTTACTGATAAAAAAACTAACCCTTCAGTCATTTTAGCCCTTTGAATTTCAACATAATTTTCTTCGTTATGCAAAACAATCATACAAAATATAAAAATTTTAAATTTAAAAACGCGCCTTTTTAATCATTTTTCTTTTATTTTGATTCATAAAATTAAGGTATAATAAAAAATGCCAAAAATACTACACAATAGTAAAAAATTGACAAAAAAAGGGAAAGCAAAATAAGAAGAAGAAAAAATATTGCTATTATGTAATTCTTACGTACATTCAACAAAAAAAAATTCGACAAAACTTTGAAATTTTTAAATTTTTCAGTTTTCATGGTCATTATCAAAATAAAATAATAGAAAGGTTAGTGACCAGCGAAAAATCTTTTATTTTCAATCCATCCCTTTCTAGCACATACAAAAATGATAATATTTTGTGTTGTAGTTATGGAATACTTATCTGATAAAATTTTATGTTTCCATTATTACTTATTTTTACAGTGAAGATAGAAAATCGAAAATTAAAAAATAAGAACACAATAAAAAGGCAAAAAAATAAGTTTTAGCAATAGTGTTGCAATAAAACACCAACAAAACATTTGTCACACAAAATAAATACAATCAATACAAAAAGGCAAATGAACTTTTAAAGTAAACACACTTCACGTTTTAATATCAAACTTAAATAAATGTTTTATTTATATTATTAGATATGAGGTCTCAAGAATGCGGTAGTAATTATTTATTTTATTAATTATAAAAATTTTATAAATACTTAAACAATCATTAATCGAAGTTTAACACGTAATTTAAATTTCATGATTAAACCATAGAAAAAACCAAATATTAATGAAAATAATAATTTTAAGTTTGAAACTCCTTGCGAGTCGCAACTATTCACAAATATACGATGTAACGGTTAATTATATATATTCGATTTAGCAATATATTTTCTTTATAAATACCTATACAATATAAGTCGACCGGTATAATTCGGCACCTTAATATTGTTCTAAGAGAATTTTAAAATCCGAATGTAATGTTCTTTATGCAGTTTGACTCAATCTACAGCATACTAGAAATTTTCCCAACTTTCGTTGTTTATATGATTTTTCCTTAAGAAAAATATATAAATATAAGAAAAGTCTGAATAAAGGCAGTTTTTGTTTTTTCAGCTTCTATTTCCGTTACTAAACTTATGAACATTACTTATGTACAAATCCAATTGTTACATGTATTTAGGACGGCACTTTAAGCATTTTCATTAAAAATAAAATATGTATGCTTATACATATCTCTTTAGGATCCATATTAAAAGTATTTCATACTTTATTCCTATAAATGTTTTCTCTTTTCAATTCTAGAATAAAAGAACCTAGAAGGAACCTGGAAAGTTAAGTTAGATTTCTAGCGTGGAATACATTTTTGAAATTTATAGGTAATTTGATAGCTAATATTGATAGTTTTCCTTTCTTTATTCCTAATGTATGAGCTTTATTTTTTAACTAACATATAATGATATTATTGTATTTGAATAATACAATATTTGTACATACATATTTACATAGACATAATTAACATACATAAATATTCTAATTTATACTTATTTATCAAAAGACAAGTTATTAAATAAATTTATGTAGATGAAATTGCGATTTAATATTAAAGCTTTTAAAAGTTGAAGGTCAGAGTATATGGTGTCAACAATATTAAAAAAATTAAAAAATTAGTTTTTTTCATTATGTTTGCATCTGATGCTATGCTAATTAGCAAAAGTGCATATGTCTACATAGCAGAAAATCCAGATTTTATGAAATAATTGAATTCCCCATGTACGAATTCGTTATTCATTATACAAAATTTCGTTAGATTCAGACAATTTCAATATAATCAAGTAAAATTTACAAAAACATCCCCCACCACAATAAATTGTATCTGAAATTATTTTTTAAAGAGGCATCACTTCAAACACTTAGTTAACTTTAAAAAGTACAATTATATTATTAAAAGAAAGTTGAAAGAAACTAAGCGAACAATCAAATTCCTAAAACAAATGTTTTTTAAGAAGTTGGAGTTCTCAAAATTTACTTTTATTTTTCAAGTTTTTCAAAAATGAACCTTTTAACCTCTTTTTTCGAAATAAAACCAGATTCCCTTCAAACTTTTTACTCTGAGTTAACCCATTCTGCGTAATTACCACAAAGCTATTTAAGTTTTTTAAAGTTTTTCTATAAAAATCCTTAATCATCTTAAGAAATTCAATTGATTTACGTTATAAAGTTTAATGAACTTATTTTTCCATTTACCTTGCAAAAATTTTCCCCCATTATTTACAATATAATAGCAATAATAATAATATATTAATATGTATTTTCAGTATTTGTAATATTTCCTTCTTTCTAACAGCAGCAACTGTACAAATTATGCATGAAAGCTTATTGCACTATCTGTAACAGACATACACACATATGTACATACTTGAGTTTATTTTTATCTAATTTTCTGGTGAAAAAAACTTTATACATACATACATATATATGATTACACATTTTTCCTAGTATGGATATCGAGTAAAATATATATGTATAGGCAAAAAACAGGAAAAGCTTAACAATTAATAGTATTGTCAGCAATGTAAACACATAGATGTGTGTATGCAACAATAGAATGTAGTTTGCAAACATTGGGATGAATAATCTAAAAACTTTCAACAAAAAGATCAACAGAAGCTGAATTTTTTGTAGACTTTAAAAAATTTACATTTACTATACCTAATATTAAACTTTTTTATGTATGTATGTATGTATGAAAATTATACCTATGATTATCGTTGCATTTAGAGAAAATGTCAGATTCAAATTGTATATGTATGTCTCTATTTTCAAATAAAAATTTAATATTCCTTGTATCAAACAATTTTGTGCATACTTAAACTATGTATATATACATATAAAAACCAAAGGCACCCCATTATAGCCGGCCGGCTTTAAAACTTAACATTGTTTAGACACCATTACCTAAACAATATCATTTATCCGATAAAATGATTTTGGTGCAATGAACTTCATACACTTAATAAAAATATACAATATAGTATATAAAATGTAAACATATGTACATGAGTGTGTACATATAGGGATAATAATATGCAATTTCCAAAAACAAAAGTAATGATAATAAAACATTTGTTGATAGCAATTAAATTAAAAAAAAGAACAATAAAAAGTAAGATCAAATGTAGTATAAAATTTTCGTTATTGAAAAGTTCATTGGACTTCAAATGAGCTTTATATGATTTAATAGATAAACAAACATGAAAACATATAAGCGTATCTACTTAGTTTATTATATACTTTAAAACAGCAGATATGCAACTTTTAGATATAGATTGATTTCTTCTAATTTTCAAAATAAAATTTTAAAATTTAACAATTTATAAATTAAAATTACTACAAAATTTTTTATATATGTATGTATGTATGTATTTAATGATCATACAAGATTTTATTCCCAACGTTTCTATTTAAAAGAAAAATTTTGTAACTCTATGCACCTGCACTTTTTTAAAGATATTAATTTAACCGTTTATGAAACCGTTGTCTAGCAGAATTAAACAATGTAAGCGGATTTTTAACTGCAAATATGCAAACATGCCGTTAAAAATCCTCTTCAACAATATGAAATTGTAAAAAAAAAATTGGATAAAACTGAAATTCCCTCCAAATTTTGATAGATATCCATTTTTTAATACTATTTTTTAATACATAATTCAATCGTAATGGGTTAAAAAAATTTGCATTTTCCAAATATTTTCAAATTATGCCAATTTTTACTTACAAAAATACATATTTAGTTTTTAAACCGGCCGGCTATGATAAGGTCTCTGTTTTGTTTTCTTATTTACACACGTACATTAGGTATGCAAGGAATTTATTATTTGATGCAAGATATACATATAAAGTGAATTATGAAGTATTTATAATATGTACAAATGCCGCAAAATTACGAACTTTTTCGTGTCAAAGCTAATTTCAATTGTCTAAATTATTTTAATAAGAAAGTACTCGTATGTACATTTGTATATGTTTGTTTCTTTTTTAAATTAAGCACCATTTAACTTATTTTAATTTAATTCAATAATTAGTTAACGTCATAAATTAGCTATAAACCAAATATGCACTAATATATACATATAAATATAATCAGCATGTACACATATAGAACAAAGAAAAACGTTAAAATGTTTACAAAAGCAAAAAGCCGAAATTTCTTTTTGTCAATCTTTAAAAAGTGCATTTAAATTTAAAAATTAATTTAAAAACTATGCTATATTTAAAGGTTAATTATAAATTTCGTAAACGCAGCATTAATTTAAAAAATGAATGCTTAAAATTTAGAAAATAAATGCGTTCTATATATGCTTCTTAGGTAAAGAACGAAATAAAATGTTTTTTTTTGGACTTCTAAATTTCAAGGTTAATATTCACTTAAAAACACGGAATGTAATCCCGCAGACTGAAATTCCAACATGTCCTACTTTATTTTTTCGCAAAAATATGCACAATAAGAAATTAAAATAAATTATTAAAAAATAAAATTTTACACTTGTTCACACCTGTTTTAAAATTATTAGTTGTAATTGTTTTAAATATTTGTTTAATCACCAGTTTGAGTTAAAACTAGAATTTACCTTAGCTAAAAAACTTTATAAAAATGCGATAAAAAACTTTCGCAACAACAAAAATTTATTTAAAAGAATAATTTTTTAAAACAATAATTTTTGTTAAAAATTAAATTATATTAAAAAAATTTAAAATGTAAATTTAAAAACGTATATAAAGACAAACTAACACCAAAACTAAAAAAAAATTAATAGGTATAAATTCAGAAATTTTACTAGCAAACAATAAGATGGTCAAACTGGTTTTAAAATAAAATCTCCGAATATATTTAATTTATGCTATGCATAATATTAAAAAGAGTCACATGCACATACGCATATTTTTTTTGTAAATTTACATATTATGTACATATGTACATACTCATTATAATATAATATGTATTTCAATGAGTATTTCAGTTTAGGAAAATAAAGAGAAAATGTGTTGGAACAACATAGTCGCATACATATATATTAAAAAAACACACAATATGATTTTAAATAAAAATTTAATTACAACTATTTTCAGAATATATGGAAAAACATTCTTGAATTATATATTGAAAACTAAATATAACAACGTAACAAATTTAACTCCTATTTAAGCCGCGAAACCAATTGTCTAAAGACAATATACTAACTTTTAAAATTTTTCTGCCTACCTCCGTAATTTCAATTAATATATGTATTTATTAATATTGTATTATCTAATATTAAACATAATAGATCAATAATAATTAATATAATAGATTCTCAATAATAAAGTACCCAATAGTAAATGGGGGAAGTTGCTGTTTCTATTTTAATCTCTGAACGAATTTTCATATGTTATAAACGCTTTGACTTTTGCAAATACCGTTAGACCTTAAAATAATTATAAAAAAAATTGTAAAAGGCTATGTTTGTGTATCTACATTATGCAACTAGGTACTTAAAATTAAAATATTTGTGGATTTTGCGAAAAATTTCACATTTATTTATTTGCATATAATGTTCGATTATTTATATGAACGCATAAGTATGTAAATGCAATTCAGATTTTAGCTACGCTGAAGAAATCGATGTATCAAAAGCAAAAATCTAATAAAAATTACATACTGATGTAAGTATGTACATATATATTTGTTGAAATTTAGAACAAAAGAGTTCAAAGAAAATTCAAAATTGGTTGTTTTGTTTAAACAAAACATACTTATTAACATTTTGTTTAAACAAAAAATACTTATTAAGAAATTTTAATTGTAATGGTAAATAATTTATATTAAGATGTATCCGATTAATATCCTGTATATAAAAATTCCAACATGTAAAACATACTAGAAAACATACTAGACAAAATACGCACACCAAAATATTTTTATTTTAGGCAGGATCTATTGTATAAATTTAAATTCAAGAAATATCCTTTTGTCAATCAAAGTTCATCGTACCTAAATTTAAAGAAAACCTTGAAAAATAATTCAAAATTAATAGTGTATAATAGCAGAAAGAATTTTATTCTAGTAACAGTTTACTTTGATTTTACAAAGCAGGTCAAATACAAAAGAAATGTATACCTACATGTACTCAATATAAAAGTAAGATGAGAAAAAAAAGGTGAATACGTTTCTATAATATCTTTACATCAGTATGCGACGAAAAAAAAATTAGGAGCGTAATCCGAAAACTTAAATGAATGTTTAATTTTTTCAAAGTTCTTTCAGTTTTTATATTCCTCGGTCTCTTCTTTCTTATATAGAACAAGATATACCTATATGTAAATATGTACATATGCAGGTATTTGTAAGTTTATAATTTGAAATTTGCCGAAAAGTTTATTACAAACTCATTAACGTCTCTCATATATAATATAAAAAAATAAATAAATGTTGTAAGTATATAAATACATATGTAATACAAATTGGTACGTGGTAAGTATTAATCAACTAATACTAGTCGGAACAAAATAAAACTAAATTTTATTGTAAATAGCTCTCAGACAATATTTGGAATGCAACATGAATTGCAAATGGAAAATGTAGGTGAAGATGCAGAAACACAATATGTACATACGTATGTAAAATATATTGGTCTGTGGCAAAAATTATACACAGAGGAAAACAATCGTGAGCCTGTTTAACGTGAGATGTACGCTGGGTACATATCACGTTAAACATGAGAACAATTAATATAAACATATTATAATATCATATATTTATGTGATTTATTGGATTTATTGGATTATGTGATTCATATATGTACATATGTACATATTTGTACAAAACCCCCAGGTTATCTTGAGTTTGATTAATAGAATGTAATATTATAGTTATATTTGTATGTATGTATATATGTACATATATATTTATCATTAAACTTATATTATAATTAATAATTAAATTTTGACTCTATATTCTATGAATTTGTTCTTTCTCAGGTTATCAAAAAGTTAGCAAGCTGCGTATCCTGCCATCAACCAAAAATAATAACACATACTTTTGTTTGCTTTCCTTCCGCTGTCATATTTTATAACAGTAAGGATAACACTAATATTAAATTAGCATTTTCTAATTAGCATTGCCCTTCTACTACAACAATAATTTTCAGTATGTACTCTACATCAGACCCTATCAGATCATAGGATAAATGAAATTAAAATTTTGGACAGAAGTTACATTTCATAATTGCAGAAACTATTTATGCATATAATTTTTCAACTAACTCGCAAACTCCTCAGTGTGGGCAAGTTATCATGTAGATTTGTTGCGAAAACAAAATTAGATTATTAAATTTAATAAAAAATTCATAAAATAAAACAATAATTAGCTTTTTTACCATTAATTAGTTCATTTATTTTTTATGTTATACTAATTATATTAAATTTTTTTTTTATATTATTACGTTTTACTTTAAATATATGAATATATCTGTAACTACTAATAATTTAACCTTAAATAAATGTTTTTAAGATATTTTCTTTTTTACTTTAATATTATCAATAATAATATAAAAATTCGAAATAAAAATTTGAAGATGTTTTTTCTTTGTTTTTAATTACATTGCCTTAATTAATTTTATTTTATTACTATTAGTGAAATTAAAATTTAATATTCATCTTAATTTTGCGTTTTTTTGTTTTTAATATTTTGTCCATCAATATAACATCTAGCTTTCTTTAATTTTTATTTGATTTATATCTTATTTCAATAATTAGTATGTATTTGTCTATTTTATTTTATATTCTGTTTATTTCTAAAGCTAAATTTAAAGTTTCTATTTTTTAGTTCAAAATTTAAATCAAAATCTTGCATCATCATCATCTAAATCAAATCATTTTCTTAAAGTTTTGAATAGTTAATCTTAAAATTAGGATGTGTAACAAAATGAAACAAATCGAAAAAATTCTCAATATTATCATCATACGTAGTCGACTCTTTTTTTAAATGATTTTGAAATTACATACACGTAAAAACCGCTTGGTTTTTACACGGCAATAGATAAATAAATGACTTTTTACAAAACTATTCTACCGTGAAATAAAAAAAAGAGTTGATTGTATACATGCGTGTAATGTACATCTATTAAAACGAAAATTTATTGCGAAACAATTAGTATAATTTATAGAAAAAGTATATTATATGCAATTAACTAATATCAAAGATGTGCAATTCAAGCTATTTATTTGTTTAATAAATAATGAATTAAACTGAGACTTCTAATTCTACAATCGTGAAAATTTGTTAAAAATAAACCCAATTCATAAAAAATTGTCTAAACAAAGATGTTATACTATTTTATGTTATGTATTAATATTATTAAATGTTTCAACAATTTCATACTACTCTTTTTGTATTTTAATGTTTTTAATTTTTTTCAACAATTAACTTAGATTATTTACAGAGGGCTATAATAATAGATTTTTAGAATTTTTTTTATTACAAAGAACAACTTTCAATCCCAAAAGGAAGAATTTCTGAGATAAAATACAAGTTGAATGCAAAACTTGCGATGTTTCCTGTAGTAAAATAAAAATTTACAAGATTTTACAAAAATAAATATGTATGTATATATATACATATATAAAATGGAATAAATAAAGCCTTCGCTTTGTTGCAAAATGCAGGTTTTATTCAATTAACCGGTCCCATTTTATTTTAACATAACTCTTATTAAAAAGCTAAATTGAAAAGTATTAAAATATTATGAATTGTTATTTGTATCAAATTGAAATTTTTCATTTTAGAAAAAAAAACGTTCTTTGCTGCAAAAAAAAGTTTGCAAAATATTTTGTTTCTATCTATTAATTTTTATTTGATGTTGCTATGTTAATAAAAAAAATACTTATAATTAAAATTTACATTTTAGAAAATATTATATAATAATATGTACTTGTGTTATAAAATTATTTGAAAAACAAAAACATCCTTTATTTTTCTCACAATTGCTGTTGATTGAAATATTACAAAAGAAAACTGCTGAACAGGTTACAAAAATTCTGAAGGTTTTTTATTATTTGAATTTTATACGTTTTTTCATCATTAACATGTGTGCATATTAGATGATACATATAAGTACGTATTTATTAAATAAATGAATATATATATACATATATATATAAAAGATATATAATGATATATACACATCTATATATATATATATATGAATATTATCGACATATATATATGTATATCTAAATGCCTTTTCAAAAAAATCTTTAAAAACAAATTTTATTAAAAATGTACATTAAATTCCATATTAGTAGATACACATAAGTACGTATTTAATAAATAAATAAATATATATATACATAAATATTAAATATAATGACATATATAAATCTATATATATATGAATATTATCCATATATATATATATATGTGTATCTAAATGCATATTCAAAAAATCGTTAAAAACAAATTTTATTATAAATGTACATAGTTTTAGCAGCTCGAACAGTTTTAGTACAATTTCTATTTGTGATACTGTATATTCCATTTGTGTAGGTATAAAATATTTCAAAGGAATCGTTTAAATTTTAAGTTAATCCTTGAAGATCCGATTCAAACGACAGAATCTTTCCGAATCCTGCAGCAATGATTATAAGAAAAGTAAATAAATTTCTAATAAATATTAAATTATAAATTATGTTATATTAACAATTTAAGAAAAATTTGAATTTTGTTTACCACATATAGTTTTCAGTTTGCGGCGCTCGCATTACTCCAACTCCACCGCCCAAACGCCGGTAGTTCATACAACCACATAATCTCCATTGATTTGTTTCCGGATCATAAACTTCAATTGTTTTCAAATATGCAGATCCATCGAATCCCCCAACAGCATATAATTGACCATTAACAACAGCAAGACCAACCTAGAAATCGAACCATATTTTATAAAAAGACACCGAAATATAAAGAAAAATCGTACCCCACTTCTTCTAGATGTCATTGCTACAATCGGACTCCACGTATTTGTATGTGGATTATATCGTTCTGCGGATGATAATTCCATGCAATCATCGCGGCCTCCAACAGCGTAAATATAATTATTAAAAACAGCACAGCCTAAATGTTTTCGCCTAGTCGACATTGGATTAACAGCGCACCATTTGTTTTGTCTTAAATTATTTATTAATTTAAAAATTAGTTATAATTGCTTCCACTTTATTAAATCAAAAAATATTACTTTAGAAATTATGTTACCTTGGATCATAGCGTTCGACAGTATTCAAAGGACATTGACCATCTGATCCTCCTATTGCATATAGATATCCCCCTAAAACGGCCACAGCAACTCCAAGGCGCCGCGTTGTCATTGGAGCAACCTCAATATTATTAAAGATGAAAGCGTTTATGTTATTTATGTATATATTAAAACTATAAAATTTCTTACTTTCGACCATTTATTTTCCTTAGGATCATAGCGTTCTACATGATTTAGGCATTGAACGCCATCTTGACCACCAACAGCGTACAAAAATCCGTCTAATACAGCAACTCCAACACTAGTACGACAAGAAGTCGTTGGTGCCACGTCGCATGACCACTGGTTTGTCTGAGGATCGTAGCGTTCAATACTATTTAAATAACTTTGGCCATCATGGCCACCAACTGCATATAATAAATCGTTAAGTACAGCAACACCTACACCACATCGACGTTTGCTCTACCAATAACAGAATTCAATTAAAATAATTTCAAAGAGCAAATTTATTAAACAAATTACATTACAAGCTTTAACCTAAATGCCTAATAAAATTCTATTGACTTACCATGGGTGCAACCATTTTCCAATCATTTGTTTGTGGATCGAATCGCTCAACAGATGCTATTGCATCACCTGAACACCAGCCACCAACAGCAAACAACACCTCCCCTCTGCGCGTAGGTTTTCTCGGTCTTGTGCGTGGTCCTTGCATTAATGGTCTCTCTTGAGGAAGCAATAAATAATTTTTGGCTTCATCAACTAAATCACGACATGCTTCATCAGATCTCACGAGCAAATCAGAGCCCACCGTTCCAACTAGGAATTTAGGACTTAACAAAGGAAGTCGTACATGTTGAAGTACCTGTTCAGTTTGTAATTTTAATCCACATACACATTATGATTTTTTCTAAAAAAATATTATACCTGTGCCAAATGTTGTCTTCTTTCAGCTACATTATATTTCAACCAAGACATTACTGCATTAAAAACTTGTTCTTCAGATCGGACATTCAATTCATCACTGCAAATTATGTCTACCAATTGAGTAACTGGTAGTAATAAGAATTCCTCACTTTCCATAACCTACAAAAAGTTGTTGTAAGGAAACAAATCTTCAATATTTATTGTGAAATTTTTTGTTTTTCAAATATTTTTTTATTCATCATTTGGTTGGTGAAATTTGTTGGTTTAACATTATTTAACAAATGCACAAGGTCTGAGTAAAGGATGCAAACATCAACTCAGCCAAACTTTTCTTACAACTTAAGTTGTCAAATGTAAATATAAACACATTGTGTAGTATCACCTTAAATATAAATGTCATTACGTTGACGTTTATTTGACATATTAATATATTTCCTATGTTTATATTTTTATCACAGTATTTGGCATTTGCAGCAATGCAAGTTAAACTTTGCTTCGGAATTTAAAGAATATTAATTAAAATTCAAATTAATGTAGTATTAATCTACGTAATATTTAAAATTTTTAATCTAAAATTCTAAAATGTCGAAACGTATAACCTCATATGATGTTTTTGGCGGCACTCTAAACCATAAGAAACCCAAACTAGATATTTCGGCTACAAAAAGAAATGAAATAAATTATGGAGCTTCTACCTCTAATAACACTAGTAAAGATCCTTTTAAGAAACCGAATGCTGTTTCATCAGTTCCTAATATATGGAATGACGATGATGACGACGATTTATTAATAATATCCCAAATGGTTGAAAACAAAATTCAGTCTAATGATGTATTCGGTAGAAATAGCGAAGACTTTGATAATATTTCTATCACATTTGAACATTTTGGATCACATGTCGAATCTAGTACGCAATTGGCAAAAACTGCAAAAATTACATCAAACCAAAAATATAATGTAGATTCGTCATCTCTTTTTGACGATTCTTTTGAATTTGAATGGGAGAATAACAATTTTAAAAATGATAATAGCTGCGATGCTTTTAAGAGTTCTTCAACAAATCTTAACCACATCACGGAAAAAAAAATTCAAAATGAAAAACCAAAACTAATGAGCCTTAAAAATGACAATTTCAGTGTCATACGAAACGACTTTACTTCCTCAAATATTAGTAATGATAGACAACGAGATGCTATAGAAATCGATAAACTTATTCAAAATTTAGATGCTTTACAAAACGAAAATAAAAAATGTTTGGCACAATTAAATACACTATCGGAACAAATAAATGATTTAAATGAGAAAGTTCAAACAAAAGAAGGGGAAGTAAGTTCAACTATTTCCTATTCGTTCAAATTCCAAGCTATTAAAATTCTTTATTTTTAGGCTTCTTTATTACGTCAAGAACTACGATCTTCTAAGCAAGCTTTAGATACCCTAAGAGTTCAGAAAATATCTGAAAATGACACAATTCGAAAGGAGTACCAATATAAAATAACTGAACTAGGGCGCATGAAAAACGGGATACAAGCACAATTAAATCAAAAGAAGATAGAAAATGCACAACTTAAGCAAAAACAAGCAATAGATGAAAATTCTATCGAAATACTTAGAAAATATCAAGACCTATCTAACATAAATAATCTTAATTTTAGATTTGAAAAGGAAGTTTTAAGCAGGACAAATTTGGATTTACCTTGCGAAATATTATCAAAAAATTACACTCTTAATTATAGTTTGGTAGAAAAATATTTTCAAAGCCAATATGATGAACTTAGTTCGATTTTGTTACAATGGAATCATAATATGATATCTGATGAAATTTATAAAAATTTTGAAACAAAAAGATTTGAACATATTTTTGAAGATGCAATTGAAAAACTAATTAAATATATAGAACTGGATTCTAGTAAATGTTGCACATTAACTGAAAATACTTTTAAATCTCATAAACAACCGACTTTTTGTAAACTTTGCTCTAAGAAAGGTATTGAGATAAGAAATATATTTTTTGCAAGTAAAATTACAAAATTTGAAAGGATGACTTCCTTTAGAAGGTTCGTCGGAATGCTCTGTTTCATTGCAAAAAGTGTACCTAATATCGGAGCATATATACTAAACTCAATAAAAACGGCTCTCACTTCAACACAACAAAATTTCGACAATATTCTAGAATTGATAATAAGTTCACCTAACATTGACCATTACATGGGGATTCTTGAGTCTATAGGATTAGTTTTAAAGACGTTAGGAAAAGTTAAGAGTTTCGACGAAAATTACTTGAAATATTTTAATATTATTATACACTGTATACCTAACCTGCGCGTAATGGCAGAAATTGCAAATTGCATTCAGGAAATATCTGAAAATAAACATTATTTAAACAAAATGTGCAAAAAATCTCCTAGATTCAAAACTTCATATACTGCTAACAAAAAAATAACTAGAATATGTAAGAGTGGATGCATTCTGCAAACATTTTGCACTATTTTGGAATTTAAAATTCAACTGGAAGAAAAGTATTTATACATACATAAATTTGAAATACTTAATATTTTGCGAAACTACATTAAATTGTTAGGAAATTGTTTCAAAACTTATCCCGTATTTATGATAAATCCAAGTCTGGAAAGCAGTTATAATGAAACAAAAAATACTTTTGATATCAATCATAGCATATGCAATTGTTACGCTTTACTCTGTTGCAGTTTTGTTTTTGTTTTTAGCAAATTTTTAAAATTTTGGATAGAAGATGAATTTGCATTTAGTAAATTTTTAAAGCAATTTCAGAAATATAATGTTACTATATTATAAAATTTTACAGATATCAACGTCTTTCAGGAAATATGCAAAGCTGGGTCAATTTTATTGTGCGACATATTTGATACTCATTATCAACCAGTGATAATTTTTATAGGCAATACTAGTGTGAAAAGAAATCTGTTTTTAATTTTAGATTGCCTTAAAAAAAAAGCAGAACTTTTAAATAATGAATACGGTAAGATTTTCACTTTTCTTTTATACATTGTCGGTTCATCAAATTTTTTTGTTATGACTAATGAAAATATTGAAATATTCCATAAATGTGAAAGAAACTCCAAAATTGTAGTGTTTCCTTTTTGCAGAAAGCATCATCACGGTATTGAAGAACTGCTCTATGTTATCCGATAGAGAACTAAATACTACAGAGAGTCAAGAAATAAATTTAAATAATGGAAAAAAAATCATTGAAGAAATATTTGCGGAGAAGCTGTTTATATAATAGTTTCCTTTCTTTTACAATATTTGATAGCAAATTTATTTGTAATAATAACGATTTAAGAAATCATATTTTTAAGTTATGTTTTAATATCTAAATTTTAAAGAATACATACATATTTTTTTTTATTGATATGTACATATTTCAAATCAAGAATTTTATTATGTAGTTTTGAAGTAAAGAAATTTTTGCCTTTATAATGCATTATACATAAATATTATATAAATAGACTCTTTCTTTGTAAATAAATATTGAGCATTCTAATAAACATTCTTTGTGCAACTCTATTAAAATCATACAAAAATTTTTTGAGAAACAAATTTGAGTTGAAAAATATATTGAAATTTAAAGTTAATAATTTCTGAAACAATGAAATTATTTAGATAGTTATCTGTCAATAACAATAAAATTAGTAAGATAAATTTGGTCAGAAACTAGGAGCCCTTACAGTTAATTAAGATAAAAACAGAGAAATAGTAAATAATAGAAAACATAATAAAAGAAAGACACCAAACTGAACCCGTTCACTTAAGTAAAAGCCTAGCTTAAGCTATATAAATACACTTTTATATTATAATCATATAAATATTTTAATTTTAAAACGCATTTAATAAAAATTTAGAATAAAAATACTGCGCTTACCTCTTGAAAATTGTGTTGTGTAAACTTATCTGCTATTCGCAGCAGTTCCCTGCACGAATGAGTATCGGCAAATGCTCTAATTCCCAAACAATTACTGGGATCTAGTTGTCGCTTAAGAAATTCGCAGCATATGTCCTGTATTTCAACTAACTGAAGTAAACATGCAGCTGGCAGTAAAGTTTGGACGTTGGATTCTTCAACAATTACATGTGATGTATAACAAAAATCAATCAACAATTCCATTGCATTTTCATCTATGTCACGTATAGTAACTTCTGTTTGTCGTGACTCCTCCAGTTCACCGGTAAACATTGCACGAAAATATGGGCTGCATGCTGACAATATTACGCGATGTGCAAAAATTTTTCTTCCACCGACATTGAGAACAACATCACACAACTCTCGATGGCGGCGTAGAACATTCAATTCTCCAAGTGTAACTTTCGGATGTTTTTCCGAGGTATGTGATAGACGTGCTGGTGATGGAGGACGATCACCCAATAGTGCATCGCCCATTCTGTTTGCCGCCAAACGCAGCGGGGCAGAAGCCCAGCCCCACACGGCGTCTATCTGGGTTGAAAGAAAAAAAATATAGAAACATATAATTGTTATTTTGTATATTATCAAAAATTGTTTTAAATTTCAGTAAGATCTCAAAGCATTTTTTATTAATAATCGTTTTAAATTATTGAAAAAATTCTTATAATAAAAAAAGCAAAGCATTTACTTTTTCAAGAAATATATTATGATATTTAAGTAGGTAAGTATGTATTACGTATGTAAATCATAATTATTTACCTACCTACATATATACTTATGTATATAATTATGTATGTATGTATGTATATAAATTCCATATTAGAGGAACCTGCAATGAAATCAAACCGATTCTAGACAAAATTATTTGGGTAGGTATGTAGGTATACCTACTATTCTTAATAATATTAATTTAAGAAAATTAATTTAACTTTTTGAATTTAATATTAGACTTTCAGAATTATTCAAATCATTGGGCACTTGATTTGAAATTTTATTTCATTAGAAAAATAAATTCTGAAACATCTAAAATTTAGGTAGGTACCTACCTGCCTACATACTTAAAAATTATTAAATCATTGATCGACCATATTTAAAATTTAATTTTTTTGAATTTTAAATCAAAGATACTAGATCTTACAATGTGTTTAATGCAAAACTATTAAACGACAATATAAGTTCAACACAGTGGATAACAACCTAAGCTCAAAATTCTACTGAAAACTTTCCAAAATATTGTTGCAAAATTTACCTTTGTAGTTCTTTCTATTTCTTCAACGGAGGAGCCAATACAACAAAACCAGCTGAAATTAATTTTTAAAGACGAAATATTCTTTCGTTTATTACAAGTACATCAAAAAACATTATTCACTTCACCGTCTATAAAAATTTTTAATGGTTTAAAAAATAATATAAAGTTTTTATAAAGAAATATTTAATTGCAATTTTTTTGATTAATTTCTTTTAATTCTTTCTGAAAATTTTCACTTGACAAATTGTCAAAAATTTTTTCGATTTGCATGCAAATGTAGACAGCTGTCAAAATATAGTGCTACCGCCCGTAGAAAAAAGTCTCAGATAAATTCTGAAAACGATTCACAAGTTAACGAAAATCTTTTACATATTACATATGCATGCACGTATGGCTGGCAGAAATGATTTTTTTAATGGCAAGATATACATAATAAATTGAATATTTTGAATATTTCGTTAAATTGTTCAATATTTAAAAACCAAAACTTATGCTTCACCATATTTTATTCAAATATAAAAAAAGCCTCATTTATAATATATTTAGATTATTGAATCTTTAAAAAGTTTAACAATGAGACCATAAATTGTATTTTAGACAATTATTATTACATAATTTATGCTTAAATTTTAAATGGAAAATAAGTTTTTAAATAGAAAATAATTGGCGACATAGTTATTTTAAACATCACAATAATATCTGACAAATTCACTAATGTACTTTAAAATAATATAATATATAGATAAAATCATGTTAGTCAAATTCAAAGTAAATATTCGGTGGTACAAGAATTCTTTTATATAGTGTATAACTTTTAAACAATTTTGCTAATCTTGTTAATGTAGTAACATCATTGAACATAACACCTATAGTTAACATATTGTCTCCTCCTCAAATATATAGATATGAAATAAAAGACGCTCATAAAAACTCCAATTGTTATAAATAGACCAAGTAAAATAAATAACGTTGATGAGCTATATTCAGTCGCATAGCTGTCATAAGCCATTATCCACAAATTCGGCAACTTGCATTCTTTTTCCCAGTCATCAGGCAATATTTCTTTATATAAATTATACATTTGACTAAGTGGACATTGTATTCCGCATTCAGGAATTAGCAAAGGTTCTGGCGTTTTAGATGAGTTTTTGTAAAATATAGAAATTAACGGCCTTTTGTTGTAATCTATTCGAAGTTCAATCAATATACAGGCAGTGTAAGGTGGATTGTGCCATTCAAAAAGCTTGAAGGCGTTTAAAACGTTGGCGATAGTTGTGTCATGTGCACTGTAAACCCAAACCGATTGTTTAACTTTGTTTTTTTGGAGTTTTTTTTTAAATCTATCAAAAATATCCTTCACTAAAAGGCCAATTTTGAGCCTTGCGAGTTTCCTTGTATAAGTTGGCAAAGCAAAAGAAAGATCAGCTATATTCTTCATATCTCCTCCTGGGAATACTTTCTTTGTCCATTCTGGTAATGTTTTATTGTACAGCTGCTCAATGTAAAAAGTGTTATATATTTGTTCGACACCTTCTATTGTGTCTACAATTTTACCTGTATATTTAGTTAAATAATCATACATGTACGAATATTTTTTGTTTAGTTTTTGAAATTCAGGTGAGTTTTTCAATTGATTAACTGCGTACTCATATGCTGGACAACTCTTTTTGCCAGCAAGCATATTATCATCTTTTTCAGGTACAGTGTGAACTGGAATTGGTTGCCAAAGTATATTATTGTTCCAAATATCATTCCCTTTTGGCTCATACAAACCAGCTAAGTTAGACAAAGCGCTCATTAACGTTCTATCAACGTCTGTGGATTGCACAAACAGATCATCTCTAGAATATGAAGCGTTCAATAAAGTGTGATACCGATTTCTCAACCACTTTCCAAGTTCAAAATGTTGCATTTTGCCAATATTGGTTAATTGACCAAAACCAGTAGGCCAAAATTTAGGATCCCTCCATGGATCAGTAGGATATGGAGAAACAGGAGTTCTATCGCCATGTCTAAAAATAACCTACAATAAAATACAATAATTATTTTATCAAGACTATTTTTATAAAATTCATAGAATATTTTCATACATTATTTTTTCAAGATTTGATGAAAATCAATTGTTTAGCATTTACTATGGAAAAAAATTCAATATGAATACTTATGCTCATATGTGTGTACATACATACATATGTATATGAATATAACAATCAATTTTCAAAGAACATACAGATTTTGATACAAGTTTTAAATTAACTAAATTGTACATTATGAGTATAAAAAAGCACTTACATGAGCGAAAACTAATTTCCCAGATAACTCATCAGATAAACAGTTTGAAAAGAATGCAAAAAGGAGAATAAATCCAAAATTTATACTTCTACTCATATCAAAAATTTTAATTTAGAAAAATGGTTAAAAATAAACAAACGTTAGCATTTGAGTAGTACTGTTATTTCAGAATAAAACCTGTGTTAATATTTTCATATTTCAGCCCAATACGAGGTTATCTCTCACCAAAATACCGTGCACCGTACTCTTTACTTGTTGCCTGCCACGATTAAAATCTTAACTCAATCAATTCAATTTGAAATGAAATAACCAAAAAAAAAATTTTTGAATATTTTGATAATCGAAATACAATATACAGCTGATTGCCAAGTGAGACGACTATAAACAATGTTGCATTCTTCGTTTGATAATAAATAGTGCTAATTCCTATTATTATTTAATCTGATCGTAGCAAACTTTTATGAGTTCGAATGTGGGCCACTCTAGTTTCTTACATTACCTACTAACATATGAAAAAAATACTATAAATATTTCAAACAAAAATTATTATTTCTTAAAACACAAATATTGTAAATAAGAATCATTTTGTAAGAAATATGTAAATAAATATTGCAAACCGTAAATGAATTTTTATTTTTAATATTAAATAGTTTTTTTTATTTTAAAAAAAATTAAAATATTTTGCTTGTAAAAATTTTATATAAACAAAAGTATATACATACTTATAAATTTTTTTTCTGAATTTACTATGATTCAAAACAAATTTATTAAATCACAAATTTCAAAACAAAATTATTAAATCACCGTCAAAGGAATTAATGAAATAATAGTGAAATATTAAAAGTGTCTCGTTAACGCTTTTTTTTCATCAAAGTTTATTATTATATTATTTTACATTGCATTGAAGAAAGCTTACTCAGTTAGCTTTTAATCAATCATAAATTAAAAAATAATGTGGCTGCTTCTAATTTAACCTAATTAAAAATTTAAGCCAGTGTTATCTTTTGCCAGCGTCAATGTGTATGTTAAAATTAATTCAACAATTCGTCGGTTAAGAAGCAGAAAGCATTAAGTCAGGAAACTGTGTTTTGAGTAAATTCAATTTGAAATAGTCGTAAAATTGTAAAACTAATCAATTAGTGCAATGGGATTGGTCTCTTTAATTTCTGGATTTGCATGATTTTTTGCCACAACAAAAATTATATTATTCTGATTTAATTCATCTATGAAATCCGAATTCTCAAAAAATGCACTTAGTGCTTTCTGCCTTTTAACCGACGAAAGCAAAAAATTCTGTCTCGTAAACGAACTTTATCTGTGAGAGGAAATTTTGATTGCATTCTCATAATTTGACAGCTTTGTAGTCAAAAAATGACAACGCCATACAAAAAAGTATTCACCTACCGATCATGTATTTTTATGATAAAAATTCATCAACAATGTTTTCGGGCCATACCATAAGGATCTATTTACATAGTTTATTAATTTATTTATTTGAGTTTTAGTGACGGCTGACAGAAATAAGAAGGGTCCAGATAATGCCATATATATCTATCAAGCCTGCAAGCTGAAAATATTTTCCGAAATTTTGAATCAGAAAAAATTACAAAAACAATTCTTAATGTTTTATTTTTTCGAAGTATTCCGATTGAAATATTTTTTTATTTTTTTGATAAATATATGAATATTCTTTATGATTCTCATTTTATTCAGTATAATTTTAAAAGCCATCTATGTAGATTATAATAATTATTTTTTTTGCTTTTTTCTTCAATTTCCTTTTAAATTTTATTCCCTATTTAAAAATTTTACTCTGTAATTCAATACCCTTCCATTTGGAAGACGAGAGGTTGCTGCGCTAAAAATTGCAACTTTTTTGTTTTTTTTTTTAATTGCATTTTTCAGATGGAATTTACCAACCGATTTTTTTGAAATTTAAATTTCAAATTTCAAAAAATATTGAGAATCAGTAGAGCCAAAAATATTGATCAATTTCCTACGCACAAATAATACATATAAATTTGGAGATTATTTGTGATTTGCTCTTTGAGCTTGATGGCCTGGTAGATATATATGGCATTAGTCCAGACCTTATTTTTGTTATGTTAGTGTTTCAGTATAGTTAAACATATCATTAGTTTTACATAGGTATTCATTTACATAAATTCTCTTTGAGAATCCGTATACGTATGGCAAGCGTATTCATTTGGGGGTGGTATTGCATGAAATTATAAAACTAGTCTGACTGAAATATGTAAAAGACTGTCAATTGTCATAAAATTGTAAATTTACAAAGATAAAGCGAAATAAAGAACGGAAACTTTTGCAAAATTGATAGTGCTAATTTTAAAAAAATTTAGAATGCAAAACGTAATTAACACAGTTAAGGGAACTGCATTGGGAGTAGCTGAGTATTTAACTCCAGTTTTGAAGGTAACTTATGAGAAATATATATAATGTTAGTTATGATAATGATATTGTATTTAAAATTGTGGGACGGGTGAAATGTGTCATAGCAAATGTTTCTATTTAAATACCTTATAAAATTTTCAAACGCAGGAAAGTAAATTTCGTGAAACAGGAGTCTTGACTCCAGAAGAGTTTGTTGCGGCCGGTGAGCATTTGGTTCATCATTGTCCCACATGGCAGTGGGCATCAGGAGATGAGGCTAAAATTAAACCATATCTCCCTAAAGGTGCTACAAATATTTTAAAATTATTAAATTAAAGTTATGATATTGTAGATAAACAGTTCTTAATTACAAGAAATGTTCCTTGCTATCGTCGGTGCAAACAAATGGAATATGTAGGGGAAGAGACTGTTGTAGAAGATGAAACTGGGGACGGAGGATGGGTTGAAACACATCACTTTGGTGATGATGGTGACACATCAGAAATAGAAGATAAAGTTTGTGAAATGACTTTGGACAACAATAAGGTAAATATATAGAATAAAGATTTTGTTCCATAATCCGAAAATACTTTTTTTGGCAGATCAATGAATTAAGGGAAGAAAACAAGGATATTGAAAAACAAAATGGCGGAGATGACGATGAGGATGATGAAGCAATCGATATGGAAGAATTTGAAGAAAGTGGATTGTTAGATCTCGTAGATCCAGTAAGTAAAAAAAACTAAGAAGTAGAAAATTTTTAGTAAAAAAATTTATAGGCGATTGCAACAACTACCAGGGAGCCCGAGTGTGACAAAAAACTTGATGGTGGGGACGGTGAAAATGATGATTCTGTCGTGCGCACCAGAACATATGATCTACATATAACGTACGATAAATATTATCAAACTCCAAGATTATGGGTTGTTGGCTATGATGAGGTTACTCAAGTTATCTTTTTAAGTTAGAATCGGTATAAAGAAACGCATTCATATTTTCAGAATAGAAAATCATTAACAGTTGAACAAATGTATGAGGATGTTAGCCAAGATCACGCTAAAAAAACTGTGACTATGGAAAATCACCCTCATTTGCCTGGTACTTACTGTTTAACATCTAAATTTTAAGGTTTATCTAAATATTACTCTCTTAGGTCCATCAATGGCTTCAGTTCATCCATGTCGTCATGCTGATATTATGAAAAAAATTATTCAAACCGTTGAGGAAGGTGGTGGTCAATTAGGGGTTCACATGTATTTAATAATATTTTTAAAATTTGTTCAAACAGTGATACCTACAATAGAATACGATTTTACTCAAAATTTCACTATATAAAAAACTTTAAAAAAATTATATAATACTTTTTTCTTATATACCCAACATTTACTTTTTAATTTTACTATATTTTCTAACATCAGACGAATTTCAAATATAAAATAATATAAAATTTATTTACATAGATATTTGAAAATTGAACAAAACTAAATAAGTGTAATTTTAATGCATGTTCTGATATTTAAAAAATGTAACATGTACATTTGCTTTTAAATATTAGCAATATTAATTTATTTTACGTTATTAGTCTTCAAATAACCTATTATTAAATGCTTAAAAAAAATGCATTAAAATTTTAAAATTTTATATATTGGTATTAGATTTTCTTCCAAAATTCTGCTTAATAAAAATATGTATGGTGGAATAAATTCCAGGAAAGCTATGCTTATAGGTAGGTAGTATTATATTATTAACCAAAAAACAAAAATTTTATTTTAATGACATTTTACATGTTACAAAAATTAAAAGTGAAAATACAATTTTATTTATGGAAAAAAAATCTTATCTTAGTTCAATTATAATGTTATTTTTATGAACGAAAAAATTTTGAGAGGAATTAAACCTAGTGAACCAGTATAAAGTTGTCGAAAGAAAACTTCTATTTAAAATAAATCTAAAAAATGGTTTTGGATAACTAATAAAGTTCAATAAAATAAAATTTGTAAACCCAATTTTTTTTATAGTTTATTTATTGCATACCTAGGTAATTTATAAAATTTATGATTTTTAGTTCTAGTTACAAAAAGATATTTCTATATTTCATTTAAGAAACATTTTATAATACAAGTACATATAATTATTGTCGACAATTTGTAAACTTTTGAAAAATTAAAACATTAGTTAAAAAGATATTTGTTTGCATGTTACAAATTGTTTGCTTCCTTAAAGCGATCCCAAGCCTTTCCTCTCCAGACTGGAAGTTTTGACACTATGTCAAAGTTTTTAAATTTACCATTTAAGGTTCTATGAGTTATAATTTGATAAGCTGTTTTTAAACCAATGTATGGTAAAATTTGCAATTCTTTTATTGTTCCATTATTTAGAATATCTAAAACAGCTTTCTGATGCTTAAGCTTGACAGTATTCTTATTTTTATTTGATAAGTTGTTGAAATAACTCGAAATGGTTTTATTTGTTATTTTTAGATCATTATTTTTATTTTTTGCTACTGAAGATTTGTCTTTTTTTATTTCAGTTTCGGTTTTCTTGTTAGTTTGCAAGGATTCCACCTTTTTCGCTTCCAGTCTGCAAGAACGACGTAAATTTTTGTTTTCTAAAACGTTATTTTTCTTAATGAAAAGCTTTGACAGTCTCTGACTTCGCCTTAAAGCATGACGGTTTAATGAACTTAGGTTTGTTGAATTTGATAAAGTTGAAGTGTCAATTTCCATGTGTGAATTTATGTGCCTTGATAGTCGTTTGTTCTGTTCAAAGTAAAGTATGTTTTGTGTTGAGTCAAGTATGTTATTAGGATTGATTTCCTTGTTCGAAAGTGAAAAGGAATCTGGAGCCTTAAATATAAAATTGTCTTGAAATACTTGGTAAAATTTTTCATTTAAATTGGAATGTTCGACATCTGAAACAACGTTTACTTCGCTTTTTGTTAGAGTTGACAATTCTTGCCTAATAAGATCTCGTATATTACCTTTCATCTTTATAAAAACTGCACTTGAGTCAAAATCCTCTTTTAATTTTTCTGTTGTGTTTAAAGTTAAATATTTTTCACCTTCTTCATCAATTTTGTTGAGTTTGTATTGGCTTGGTGAATCTTCGGATATTTTTAAGCTAGATTTATTTTTATTTAACGAAGTTAGTTCATCTCTTATTATGTTCCTCAAATCTTCCTTAATTGAACTCCAAAATGTTGTTGGTTGAAATCGAGTTTCTAACTGGTTTTCAATTGTTTTTACAGAATCGTTATTACTCTTAGTACTTTCTCTTTTATCTTGTTTTTGTGAGATTATTTCAAAACCAGTCACAAGCTTTTGTGACGGAATATCAATTTCAGCAGCGGCAACTTCCAAAGTTGTTGAAGTAGAAACGTTAAGTAAGCTTGTTAGTGAACACCTTGATTCAATCGACAACTTCATGGCGTTTGAATCACAATTCATCACCTCATATTCATGGGCTCTCACTTCTTCATTCGATGATTTAAATTTCTTTTGTATTTCAGTATTATTAAATCGTTTAATGTCAAATTTCCGTATATTTCTGGGACTGCAGAAACTATTTGACTTTTTTAAAGAATTTATTGATTTCATATTTTTGCTTTTCGCGAAAGGTGTAAAACTATTCTTTGTGCGTAATGGAGTTGCCTTTGATGGCGTTTTTTGCTTTAATTTTTGATATTGCGACAAAGCTATATTTGCAAGAGGATTATTTCGAAGAAATTTAGCACTTTGTGCAAATCTTAAAGTATAAAGGGTTTCAGATTTATCTATTTTTTCTGAACTTATACAAGCCAAAAGTGTTAAGTAGGAATTTACGTTAAGAGAATCCTGCAGGACCGACGTAAGTATACTATCACGATACGGTATCACCTTATTCCCAGCATTTAAAGCTTGTATTACTTTCCCAACAGACAAAAGACCTTGATTAATATTAACCCCTTCAGAAAGTGCAATTCCTTGATGTCCTGTTCTTCGAACACTTTCAGATCCAGCTAAGTCTATAAGATTTAGCATCGATGAAGTAATTACCATATCGCCTATTTGTTCTATATATATAGTAAAAATAGCATGAGACCTCGAGCTTTGAGCATTCATTTTTGTTGGTCTAACATGTCGATTTCGGTTACCCTCACACAAAATTTTTAATCCTTCTTCAGCTGTCTTTATTTCTTTTTTGTTTCCACCACTAAACTTACAACCTTTCATATAAATTTGTTCATTCGGATCAAAAGAAAGCATATCAAATACTTTTTCATTATAAATTTCTATATAAGACACCAATATCTTTTTACATACCATATCTTCAGTGTCAAAAATCTCATGTAAACATCTTGGTATTATGCCAGCATATTTATCTCTTAAGTTTTGTTCTAAGCCCATTGTGTATGTTTTCCCCGTTCCTGTTTGCCCATATGCAAATATATTGCAATTATATCCCTGAAGAGCTTTTTTAACTAAGGGATATGCTAATGTATCAAAAACTTCCTTCTGCCCCACATGTGACTGGAAAATGTAATCAAATGCATAGGCTCGCTCATTAGCAATCAAAATATTTTTTATTTCATTGTTGTAATAAATGAAAGTCTCTTTAGTTTTCAAGGGACATTCACGTACAGCGATCTTAACTGCACTATCAGTAACATTCTCCTCCATTTTTCTGCTACTCATTGATATATTTTTTACTTTTACTTAAATACCTTTGAATATTTTCTTAGCTTATTATTATAAATTGAGATGAAATGTTTGAATTAACTGAACAATTTTGACATTTGTAAGCTTCTATTCATTATTGCCATATACGCCAAAAGTCAAAAGGCAATTTTTAAAATTAATTATTTAAGTTTTTGTGACATCTTCAAAAGTGAGAACGATCCAGGGCTTCTATAAGATAGCTATTTAAAACCAGGGATGCGTTTAGCTTTCAATCATAGTGTAATGTATTGTTAAAGATGTGAAAATACATATAAGGTTTTGAAAGGTTGTTTGGGAGTATTAAAAGCTTTCTTATTTGAAAAATATTTATGGTATAATATGTATTTATAAAAAATTATTTTGATAGTTTTCTTTTTATTGAACTATAAATAAAATTTGATCCTTTTAAACAAAATAAAAAATTCAAAAATATTAATTTTTTCCCAAGAAAACTTTTGAAAATTGAGGAGTATTCGAGTATTGAGGGAAAACAATTTTCCAATAATCGATGTGTCAAAGGAAAGTGTCAATAACTTATTTAAATAATACGTTTTAAAACTAAGTTTTTCAATAAAGGGAAAAGTTATGTTCAAATTAAAATAATATTAGCTCTCAGAGAATGTAACTTTGCTAGAAATTTGAAACATAAGTAAAACCTTTACAAAAATGCAGCATTCTTCGCATCCCTGATTCAGGCTCCTAAAACTACTATGTGGATACTAAGCTCAATCATCCAAAATGTTTGTAACATTTTGTAACAAAACAATAAACTTTGTTCCGTTAGCGTGTTTTTTTTTTCACCAAAAATTATTTAATTTTTTGACAAGATGTATTAATTTTAAATATATAATCTGTCGTTGGCAAAAATAGCTCACGAAGAAAAAACGTGAGTTCACGAGACAAAGCACGAAACAAAGCTTACTATTTTTTACTAAAATAATTGAGTTAAAATTTAATAGGTGTCTTAAAGGGACCTTATATGTACATATATTAATATTTAACAGAGCATTTGTCTTGTGAATACTTACATAAACATCTTCTCACAACGGCACTATTTTTTTAATTATAAAAACCAAATTTCTAGAAAAATAATGCGGGCAATTCACCAAAGCTTAAAGTTTTATTTTCAAAAATATTGCTTTTTGTTGCCATAAAAATGAATTCGGCGAAATTTTTTTAAGGATTTTTTGTCACTTCACTTTAGACGTGATTTAGACCATTAAAATGGTTTGAATAGGAGTTTTGTCCAAAGTGAGCTCCAACACTTCTACCAATGATTGGAGAGCATGTAAATATGCATGCTTAACATTTTTCATATCTGTGTGTAACACGTAAAATATGTAAATATTTATGTAAAACAATATATATTGCATACATATTTATATGCATATTGTAATTACTAAAAAATTTGTTTACAATTACTTATGTACTTTATCTGTGCAAAAGTATTTACATACCAACATTATACTTACGTTATTTTTTGTGTATCAATAGGAAGAATCTGAAGTACCTGCGGGTGGTTCTGTCGTTTTTAAGAAGATCACGTTTGACAACTATTATTTCTTTTTCATATATATATGTACATATACTCTTAGGTTATGAACGCCAAATTTATTTAAAAAAAAATCATGGGTCTAAACCTGGTGTTTAATCATGTTCCCACCGTAGATAAAAACCATCAATATCAATGAATGATGCTATAACTCAGTAGGGATCAGGTACATTTAATTTCAAATACAATACGATTATATTTAAATCAACTTAAATCAGCATTGTTTTTTTGAAGTTATATTACAAATCTCTTTTTTACTCTTTCTCACTATTCTTTTTCTCATGAGAAAAAATATATAATTTTGTTTCTTTCTTGCTCAGCATTTTTACAATTAATTTGAGTGATATCTCTTCTTTTGACACTAATAGTGTTTATTTGGTTTGATTGAAAGAATGTTGCCAGATACATAGGTGAGAGTATTGCTTTTTTTTTTTGTTTTTACATAAATTTTTTTTTACGGTCTTGGTAATAGTTTTTATATAACCTTTTTAAAAATCCGTTATTGTGATTTATTTATTAAATTATTTTTTTTATTTAATGGGCCTTAAAAAAAATTTAAACATCTCTCAAAAAATTTTGGGTTAATGCTGCATGGGTATGGCATTGCTGAATTAATAGAGATTGATAGGAAAAAGAGAATACTGCTATGAAGTTAATTTGAGTTTTGGCAACATCGTTTGACAGTCAAATGTAATAAGTTTTCACTGGCAGGAAATATTTTCTTTGAAAAAGTTCTTAAAATATTTAAAATTTTAAAGTTTTATTATTTCCAAATACAAATATTTGCGGTGTTTAAAGAAAGTAATATAAAATTTTTGTGTTTAAAGTTATTTTTTTTATCATAAAATTGAATTGAAAATTTTCTCATGAGCGAAATCGTGTTTGAAAAGACAGAGATATATTAAAATAAAAAATTAGGAGACTCCTGCGTCGTGGAGAATTTTTCAATGCAATTTTATAAGCGAATGTAAGATTGCAGAGTGAGAAACTGTAAAAGTGTTAGTGCAAAATTAAATAAAAGAAGGAGAAGTCGAAGTTTGGAATCTCACGGCAGCACGACACGCTCCTTAATTAAACAGAAAGAAATAGAAAATTTTTAAATATATATAGATATATAGATATATATGTATATTATATACACATTTTAAAAGTGCTCAGCCATTATTTTTTTACTCTTGTGATGACTCTTTGAATTCAGTATACAGAAAATTAAAAATTGAAGAAAATATATTTTTCAATTTGGATTTTTATATTGAAATCCCGCTCTTCTCAATTTTAAGCGTAAATATTCTCAAAAAATAAAAAAAAAAAGAAAGCTGTCAAAAATAATAGTGTTGCACCCAGAATAAATATTTTGGTTTGATATTATTAACTAATAGTTTTATCATTAATATTATACCCAAATAAATGGGTATTTTAATTAGTTTCATTAAATTACAAAAGTGAAAAGAAAATTTTAATTACGAAAATAAATATATTTTGAAGATGGCTTTGCCAATAAACTCTTTATATTCTTTGACGTGGGGTGATTATGGTACGTCGCTTGTATCGGCCATTCAACTTCTACGATGCCATGGAGATCTAGTTGATTGTACTCTAGCGGCTGGTGGTAGAAGTTTCCCCGCGCACAAAATTGTTCTTTGCGCTGCTAGCCCATTCTTGTTCGAATTGCTTAAGGTAAGCATACTATGGAAATACATACACACTTATTAATATTTAAGTAATTAACCAAATCAAAATTATTCATACTGTTCTTAATGGGAAATAGTCAGTTGCAATAGCACTTTATAAGGAACTGTTAAAGATTAGTTTTATATGTATCACATTATATTTATAGAATACACCATGCAAGCATCCAGTGGTAATGTTGGCAGGAGTAAATCCCAATGACTTAGAAGCTCTTTTAGAGTTTGTTTACCGCGGAGAAGTGAGTGTTGACCATTCACAACTACCTTCTTTACTTCAGGCAGCACATTGTTTGAACATTCAAGGATTAGCACCTCAGACTGTGGCAAAAGATGATTTTCCACAAATTCAACTTCATCAAATGGTACCACAACATCAAGTAAAAACTGTTATTGACGTAAGTACTGCAAGTACTTGAAAATAACAGTATTTTTATTGATTGTAAATCTGTTGTTTATTTTTTATTCATATGTTTTTATTAAAATTTTTAGGATCAAGAGCAATTGATAGCTACAATAGCTGCACCGCAACAAACTGTTCATGCCCAAGTTGTTGAAGATATGAATACTGTTCATGCTATTCCTCAACCGATGCATCAGGTGCAACAAACTCATACCCAAGATAATGTAAAAGATATGATTAATCAACTATTGCCAACAAGGAAACGTAAACCACGAGCTAAAAAAGTTATTGGTAATTTATAGTTTTTGTCGATGTTTCATATTTTCTATTCCATGTAATTTAAAGGAATATCCGAACCTCCAATAATTGCAACGAAAATTCAAAGAACTGATGGCATGGAAACTGTAATGACAACGACAAACGCAAATGAAAACGGTGAAGCCCAACAACAACAGCAAGTTCAACATCCGCAAGCCCAAACTGTACAAGTCCAACATATTCAAGCTCAGCCTCAGCAAATACAACATCAAGCACAACATCAACAACAACAGCATGTGCAACAACATCAACAAGTGCACCATCAGCCACAACAACAGCAACAACAACAACAGCAACCACAGCAGCAACAACAACAGCAAACAACACAGCAAATTACAACGGTGACGGTACCGGCTGGTATAAAGTCTGAGGCTCCAAATGAAACAATAGTAACTGTAACTGACGCTACTGTGACACCTGCTCAAACAAATACAGCTACTGTAGCAAGCAAAAAAGGCGACAGTGGAAATAAAAACGCCAAAAGCAAAGGTTTGCCTTTGAATAATACAAAACATAAATTTTAATAATATTATTTTAGAGCCTCGATCAAGATCTCAATCGGAACAACCTGCGACATGTCCAATTTGTTATGCGGTTATTCGTCAGTCCAGAAATTTGAGACGTCATTTAGAATTAAGACACTTTGCTAAACCTGGTGTGAAAAAAGAGCGGAAAAGTAAGTACAATTGTAAATTTTTGTTAAATTTTTTATCTCCTAATAAATATAAATTATACACTTAAATTTTTATTTAAAGCTCCAACAAAGAAAGCAGGTGCATCGGCATCTAGTGCTGGTAAAACTCCAGTCACCGGAACTACGACAGCGGTTACATCTCAAGCTAACACTCAAGTACCACAAATACAAACAGTTCAAACTGTGCACACATTACAAACAGTTCAAGTAAAAAAAGATCCTGATCAAATAACAACTACATCAAATATGACACCGGTAACTGTAACAGTTGCTAGCGGAGGTCAACAACATCAACACAATGCAACTCAGCAGCAACAACAGCAAATACAAACACAGCAATTGCAACAACAGCAACAACCAACAGCAATTATTGATCAAAGTGGTCAAATTACAACGACCTCGGCGAATGGGCAACAACAAATAGTCACTCAAACCGAAAATACTGATGGAAGCACATCGCTCTCTATAGCACATGTTCAAACATTACAAGGACATCAACTACAATTGTCTAATCTGAATCAGGTGAATATCAATGACTTTACCCATCATTAAAAAAATAATTATTTAAAATTGTTTTAATATTCTACATTATATTCAAAAAGTTTCTTATTTTCAAATTTTTTACTTAAATACATATTATTATTTTTCGTATCGAATGTATACATTTTATAAATTTAAAATGTATATATGCATGTTTTTATATTTACATATACATATATATGTTAATATATATATAAGCTTCTCTTTTTTAACATACGCATATATTATATTATAATATTTTTAAAAGGAAAATATGTACTTAAGTGGACAAAATATACCAGAATAATTTTTTTTTATTTTATTTTGCTTGAAATTTCTTATAATTATTATACTTTAAAAATTTATAATATTTAAATATTCTTCAATAATTGATAATTGGTTCTTCATTTTTTCTTATGTTTTCACATGCTATTTTAAAAATATTTTAGAAATAAGCTGTAGTTTAATTACATTTTTAATAAAATAAATTTATTATGACAAAAAATCAAATAAAAATAAAAAAATTATTATGTGTTTTAGATTAAACTTTTAGAATACATTGTAAAAACAAACATGCAAATTTCTTAAATTTGTACAATATATACAAAACTTTCAAAACAATTTGTATACTTCTGTAGCAGTGTTAGGTGCGTTAATTGATCAAAATAAGATTACTTTAATTGTTCAAATAAAAACATAAAATTATTTCAATTTCCTAATTTTGGGCGAAAAATAAAGAATATTTGATTTTGTCGTAGTTTTTTGGGTTAAAATTTTGATTTTCAAATTTGAATATAATTTACTTGCACATTAATATTGCGAATCAGTAATCTTATTATGTACAGTTAAGGGTGCACCAAAATATTCATTTTTCAATTCTTAATATGAATAAATAAACAAATAGATGAATAAATTAAAAATTTATGTTTCGAAAGTTCTTAGTCTTTATTATTATTTTTCGCTTTTTATTTTATTTAAGAATTAGAAAGCAAATCTATATACAATTAATTATTTTTTAATTTTTAAAACTAAAAATGGCTTTATTCTGTAAAACAGTTTTTAAGATTCAAAAAAAAAAATAAAAGTAACCAAAGGAAAACAAAATTCATAATATTCTTTTTTATTTTTTTAAATTTGGTGGTGTTTTTATTTGAATGTTAAAATGTTATATTAAAAATTCTAATGGTTTATAGGTGTTACATTTTTATTTTATACACTATTGTTTGCTTGGTATTATATTAAGTAGTGCATTTTGTGTACGTTAACATTTGTAATTTAACATTTTTCTTTTTCAAATACAATTTATCTCATACGATTTTTGAATTCATTAGTTTGTGTATTTAAACCTAATATTTTTCATTTTATTTTTTTATAACTCTTCTGTTTGCACTATCGCGTTATAAATCAAATTCATCTCTTCACACTTATTTACCTGAATTTTTTAGAATGTTTATTACAAACAAGTGATACACAGGAAATAATTAGTTAAATTTTGCTTCTATTTTCCAGTTTTCTCCACAGCTATAAATTGTCACAGTGGGGTTATATTTTTCCCACTAATAAAAATTACTCAGGCTTTTCGTTTCCCGGTTCCTATTTTTCTATATTATATGCTACGTTTCCTTTTTAGGATTATAGTTGTGAATTTTATTTTTTTATAAATTATTAAGAAAGTTTTTATAAAAAATAGTAATTACGACTCTAACGTTTTTAAAAAAGCATACATTTAGTAATGTTTATTTTTAAATTTTCAAATTTAATAAATCTTATTTTCAAGGGTAATCAATCTTTACAATTTGCCCTCTCCAGACATTAATATTTTTAAACAACATTTATCCTTTAGAAATGTTTAAATTTTCTTAAAAATTTCACTTCAAGTTAGAATATTTTAAATACATACAAGTTTGTGCGTCTTTTTTTCTAATGTTTCTATTATAAGAAACTCATAAAATCAGGCAAATTCTTAATTGTGTTATATTTAACGGAGCACAATTTCTATTGAATTTTGTTTATTTAATTCTGTAATAGTTTTATCTCTTTTATCTTGTGCATATTATTATTATAATTGTTATAAGTTTTTAATATTTTAAAACTCTATATCTATAATTTTTTACAAATCGATTATTTATTTTATATTTTGAAATTACATTTTATAAATAGATCACTTTTTTGTTTTCAATAAAGTTTTATAAATTTATAATATTCTGTACTACAAAAATACCATATAAATGAAGAAATTTATGTTCTTTTCACAATTTTTTTTCTTTTTTATAGCAAAAGAATCATAACATATTGGTAAAGAAGGTATTTATTTTAAAGGGCAACAATAACACCCAATGATCAACCCCCTAGTATATAAATATTATCAACAATAAGATAGTTGATAAAGATAAAAGCAAAAACAAAATAATTTATAATTAATATTAATATTAATATAAAAGAAAATAAAATGAAAAAACTGGAATACAGACAAAAAATAAATGACAATTTACAAGTGAATAATAACAAGTAGAACAACAACATAAAAGCATAAAAATTTTCCTATAAAGAAAGGAAATATAAAAATTTCGTAGAATTTTTTGTATACAATAATTCGAAATATTACATATTTTTACAACAAAATCTTATTATTTTTCCTTCCCTCCCTCCCCCTGTAAATTAATTCATCAGTACTTTTTATTAGATAAGTATAACAAAAATTGTATAATAAAAATTATATTAAATTTATATGTAAGAAAAAGTAATTGAAAATATTAGCATTTAAGAACATTCAAAATTTTGTTCTAAGTTCCATTAAGACAAAAATTTTAACATAAAATAGAAATCGAAATTAAAAAGTAAGATAAAAGAAAGATAATTGCAATGTAAAAAAACATTTTTTCGACTTTGTTGTTTTTTTTTTTTAAATCAAAACATTAAATTTGCAGTAAGACGATTGATTAAAGGGGTAATTTTTAGTTTTTTTTTGTTTTCAGTTACATAATTACAAACATTACAATTTTTTGTTTTCGTGCTTTTTAAATGAAAGTTTTCGATGGAATTAAATTTTTGTTACTTCTATTTTTAAATCAAAATTTTTCGTATGCCTTCGTTATAGCGGGAAAAGAATTAAAACTACATAGGAAACAATTTGAGCGTATTCTAGATTACATTCAAACAAATCTTGTCAAATATTATAAAGTGTCCACGTCAGTTTTTTTAAAAAAAATAAAATTCCTTTCAAAATTATAATTATAAAGCAGCTTTACAACATTTCTCTTGCAGGCACATACGTTGTGTTTTGGGTAATAACCAAAATTGTAGTTTAACGCTTTTTCTATTAGTATTTATTATAAAAGAAAGGATTTATGTTATTATTACATTTATAAATGTTATTATTACATTTATAAATGTTATTATTACATTTATTAATTTGAGCGTGTGTTTGTCTATGTTTTTGTACTTGAAAATAATAATTTAAATGTTATTTGTGTTTTTGTTTTGTTTCATTTTCCTAATAATTAAAACTATTGAAAAATAATATGTAACATAATATTATTCTGGTTTAAATGATTTTTCAGTAAGAGCTTGTACGCAGATATTGCCATAATTCAAAAGAATGTCAGCATAAAGTTGTAATTTCACGCATTTCATAATTAAGAGTACATTAATAATCATTTTTTGTAATAGTTTTCATAAATTCCACATAAAAATTTAATGGCGAAATATAATTAAAATATATAAGTTGCATATATTATGGGTTTCTATTATTCAAAAGATGGTGAAAGTTGACTAATTTCATTCATATAAATCATAATTAAAAAGAAAAAAAAATTGATGCTCGCCAATTGACCGGTTTGACAAATTAACTTTGAAACAAATAGGATTATTTTGTTCTTTAACAGAATTATATTAACTCAATTATTATAATATAAAGTGTTAAGCAATTTTAATATCAGTTATTTTCCAAAACAATTTTCCGATTTAGTTAAACTATTTGTAATAAGTGGATTTATTTTAACGTTCTCAATAGAAATGTATTTGCTTATTCGTAAGGTCACTTTATTCTTTAAGAATAGAGTTTTAAAGTGTTAATATATTACGTAAAAATACCAGCTATATTGTAGAAGATAAATAAAAAAAATAATCATCAGATGTTGTTCAATTAAATTTTAAATATTTTTATGTTTGAGGAAAAACACATATTGACATTTTATGCTTTTATTTTATTTTTGGTAAAGTTTTATATTTTTAAATTAAATTTTTCAATAATATTAGATGATAAGTAAAAAATATATTGTAAATTTGAATAACATAAACATAAAATATGTATAGTTATAAAACAAAAAAGAAAAAATATTGTTTTTTAATGTTTTGAATATATTATGTATTTTAGCTTACGAAATATATTTCATAGACTTAAGAATAAGAAAAATTTAAAACGAAAAAATGCAAAAAAAAATTAAATAAAAATTAAAATTAGTACACAAATTTATAGATATATTATTATGTTAATTTAGTATATATTCAATCATATACATATAATAATAAATTAAATAAAAAATGAAAAAGTTAAGAACTTTATAAAGAAAAACTGCTATACAAAAAATAATTAATTTTTCTGTAAATTACAAGCAATTGCATAACAGCAATAGTGAAGCGCTGATCACAAAATACCACAGTTATAATTTATATTACAAAAGAACGAAAAAACAGTTCACATAAATAGTTTTAAATTTAAATTCAGCTTTACAATTTTAGAATCTTAAATAATTTCTTAAAAATGTTTTTGTTAAAAATTCTAAATTCTTTAATTTAAAAAAGTTTTAAAAGGTTTGTTTTTCAATATTTACATAATATTTGGCCACATTATCCCTAAAAATCAATTATGATAAGATCATTAAATATTTAAAACAAATTTTGGGACCAACGTTGAAAAAATTACATTTAAAAAGTTGGCAATAGCAACTGATATGTTTTCTTTTTGTTGTATTATTAGTAACTTGTAGTGATTTTTCATAATTTTTAATTGATTTCATTTTTAACTATTACTAAAAAATATAGTTTACTGCAAATTATTTCAAAATTAAATCAATTTTATGGTAAAACAAGCAAAATAAATATTTCAATCGAAATTGCAATATTTTTAAATATAAGTTTAAATATACCTTAAATTTAAAAACCAAAAAAAGAAAAAATTTCTAAATATTTTGATATCCATATGCATACATATTATGTAAAAATACTTATGCTTCTATTTAGATTTTAAACAACAGTCAAAATAATATTTTAGTTTTATTATTTGTAGTAATAATTTTAATATACAATAATTTTATTTTGTCAATAAATTTCACAAAGGACTATCTACTGTTTATCAAAAGTTCATATTAAATTAAGATACCGTTTAGATCCAAAAATTAATATGATTAACATTTAGTTTAATGTTTTAAGTTCAAATTTAATTTTTTAAAATAAACACACCTAAATGTACATATATGCTGTCAAAATAAAATTATTTCAAACTAGTTCTTAGCGTCCAACTTCACTATTGTATCCAATAATATCCCAATTTGTTTTTTTATCATGTAAATTATTCAAAAGAGACAATGTGAAACTGAAAATTATGATTTTGGTTCTGTGTCAAAACCAAAAGAAAAGGAAAACAAAAAAATTAAAACTAATTATATGTAATTATGGTTTTAGGTATGTAATAATTTTTATATGTGGATAGTCATGTTATTTTATTATAATAAAAAGCAGATACAATAGTTAGTTAAAACTGATGCTTGCATTTTGTGTGATCAATATCACTTAAATAGTTTTTTATAATTTAATTCAAAAAATTCTAAACGTAAATAAAAGCGTATTAAAAACTATCTGAAAACATAAAATTTTATTGTGTTTTTCATAATTTAATTATTTAAATTGTTACACATTTCACTACACACATTTAATATAAATATTAATAAACTTAGAAATTTTTAAATTTATCGAAAATTTTGAAAGCTAAGTTCAAACGCTTATTGTACTTATAACTAAAATAATCCGCATATAAAAACTATTTAAGATAAAAATATGTATAAATAAAAATTAACCAGATACGTGTAAGAATTTTTGATAAACAAAAAAAAAGAATTGAATATTTAATATAAAAATAAAAAATGCTGACTGAATATCAAATGAAATTGGCTTTTAAAGCTAATTAAAGAAGAAGTTTTTATTGAAAGTTATGTTAAAAAGTAAAAATTAAATTCTTTTCACGAAATTTTCAACAAACAAATGAAACATAATGCACATACTTTTAAACTTAACTTATAAAAAACATAGTAAAATATAAAGTAATTAAGTAAGTGTATTTAAAAGAAATACAATGAAAATAAAAAAAAAAACTAATTTTAAGTATATTAAATAAAAAAATGTAAGAAAAGAAAAAAATCTATTTTTTAATAAAAAAAATTTTTATCGTAATATACATACATATATATACATAGATAAGTTCATTATAAATTACATATATGCATTTAGTTAAACATTGTACATAATCATTTATGAATATTATGAATTTTTCTTGTTGATTTAAAATAATATTAAAACTTTGTATTTGGTCTATTACTATAATATTGATTTAATTATAATAATATTAGTATAAGTTAATATTAAAGTAATTAAAATAATATTGCATATGAAAGTCAATTGAATTCAATTTTGAAACGTCGCCAATTTCAAAAAGATATGGAAACTGAGTATTGCATGAGAATGAATGTCTGCAAGACGCATAGTCTATAATACTTCACATTATTTACTTTTACTTTATAATAAACCTATTTTTTGGTCAACATCGTCGTAGCTTCTTCGTTAAATTTTTCGCAGTTATTCTGAAATTTGCTGTACTAATAGTGGATCTGATATTCATTGTAAAATCCGTCGTAAATAAATAGTAGTCACAACTTTGGTGATTGCAAAACTTAAATGCTATATTTGATTTTGAATCGATGAATTCGTTTTCATAGGTGTTTAACTAATCTTGTTAAAACTTGTTATTTAAATATAACTATATTAAAATTACTTTCATATGCCTCGTCAGATTAACTTATTACAATTGATAAATTCAATTCTTGAATTTAAAGGAAATGATGTTTAGGTTTCAAAATTTCACATTTTACACGAGGGAAATGAAATATATGTAAATGTAATAAGAAATGTATATATGTAATTTACAATCAAATCATATTAATTTTACATAATGTACATATGCAATTATGTTCTTTCTTGAAAATTTCTAACATGTAAGTATAGAAGAAAATATGTAATTATATATTTGTACTTATAATATCGTTTTTGCATAGCTGAAAAAGATTATTTTCTTATTTTACTGTACTTTTTTAATTCGTTTAAAAACTATTTTGTTATTTAATGAAAATTATGTTGATTGAAGTTAGTAAGCTTTTATTCAATATCAAGAGGTTAAGTTGACCTTCTGTATGCAAAAGGAACTATTGTTCATAAACTATTTTTTCCATTTTATTCCACAACTTTCTATCACCTATCACATTTTGTTGATTAAGAAAGGTATTCCTTGTTTTTCGAGTGTTAATTAACCGATACTATAACTTTCCAGTATATTTTTACATATTAGAGTATTTTTAAATACATTTTGTTTGTTTAGATATTTTTCTGCATGTGAGACCAATGCTCGAACAATAAAACCTTTACAATTAAAGAGTTGCATTTAGCCTTTTTTTGTTTGGCCATAATTTTTTCAAAAATTTTAAATTTATGCTTGGGGATTTACTGATGGGAAAAGATCCCCCATTCTTAACTCTGATCCTCATGTCTTATTCAAATGCTTCCTCTTCAGTTAAATTAAGAAATAATTCTTTTTGTATTGTTTATTTCCCTCCTAATAAATATTTAACCATGCATACATCAAAGCATATCGAGCATTTAACAAATAGAAAAATTTCGAATATTTTTCTGAATTTTAGTAACGCAAAAACACTTCTTTGGTTTTTTTCTTCTATAAGATTCGTTCGTGTATTTTTTGAAGTGAACATTTAAAAATGATTTCAATGATATTTTTTTATGTTCTTATCAGTGGTATAAACGAACTTAACATCTTCAATAATGTTGATAATAGATATTGTGGGGTTCCTAATTTTTGCCGAAAAAGCTGCGCCATAAAAAAAACAATTAGAATCTTTCAACAAAAATAAATTAAAATTCAGTTATGAAAAAACGTTGAAAATATATACATATATGTATTTATATACATACGATGCAAATGTACATTACTTTGCATTGCTTATTGAAGTCAGTTTTAGAAAATTATAAAAACAAATGGTTTAAAAATTACAAAAATGTAGTAATAAAAACAAAAAAAAAACAATTAAAAATGAAAATGTGTAGTAGGAAATAGAAAATTTTGTTTTGTTTTGAATTTGAACTTAATTTTTATGAATAATTTAATAATAAAAGTGATTTTTAATCAAACAATTTTATTTTTTAATTTTCACACAACTTTTTGAATATATCTTAGTTTAATTTGAGTAAATAAATGATGAATGAAAAAAATTAAATTTTGTTCTGCACATGATTGTATTGTGCCTTTGGTATTTATTGTAGAAATACTAAACTATGAAATTTCGAATTGTTACATCTAACTAATTATATGTGGTAAAAAAGACCAAGATAAATGGATTTTCAAAATTTCAGTTCTAACTTAGATCTCAATATAAAGTATGTTCGATAAATCTTTACTAGAAAAGAGGCACATTCATCTTTACTAGAATACAGGTATCAAAATTGTAACATGCTTAAAGCTCTAATGCATTTTTATAAAATACATACATAAAATAGTAAGTATATATAACCTAACAAGCAGAGGCAAAAAGGTGTGTACTATTATCCAATTGAATCACCAAATTCATAATTGGGAATAGCAAAGTATTATTTTTATAATTTAAAGCAACTGGTTTTTGAAAGTTTAACCGCTGTCTTTAGTTAAGTTTTTGTTACAGAAAAAATTACAAGGTAAAGTACTGAAAGTAGTTAGGAAATTGACAAATATTTTTCATTCGTGTTACAATTTTAAACTAAAAAATCAAAACGGTGTTGATGAAATATTGAAAATTGTCTTTGTTTTAAAATCACTTTTATGTTTTCTTTATTATTTTTGTTTAGTAAAGTTTAAATATGAAATCACATAAATGAATATTTTTTTTGTCTATAGATAAATCTATTATAAATAAAAGAAATAAAAATTGTAAATAAAAGTAAATTAATCTTTTTTCATTGTGAATTTCATAATACGCATTAAACTTAATGCAAGCTGCAAAATTATTAAACCTGTTTTACTTTTCGTTACAGATAACTAAAATGGTTAAACGGAGGCCAAATTAATTTTTATTGCTTATTTAATTTCATGAAAGCGATGTTGGATGGAAATCCAACATTCAGCCCGAAGTTTACTTTCAACATTGATAGCATTGATAACATATTTAGCTATGGATACATTTACATACTTATGCAAAATTTGTTTAATCGACTTACCTAAAGTGTCTAATATCCAAATAATATAGGATTTTTTATAATGAAGAAAAAATGAAAGTTCAAGAAATTTTATTTTACTTTTAAAATTATTGTTTTTTTCAATTTATCATTCGAAATTCAATTTTTATATTAATAAAATGACTATTACTTATAACCTTTTGAAAATAAATTATGAAAAAGAAGTCAATTATTGTTTTAATTTACTGTTTTCATCTTCTTGCCTTCTTTCCTTTTTGTCCCGAAATAAAATAACATTTTCTGTTTTTTGAACACTTTATTTACTAGTTTTCTCTTTTTTTTCAGTTTTTAACATAATATGTATAAAGTACAAATCTAAAAACAAATTATAATTTAAACAATTACAAGTTTTAAATACACATAGTGACATACATACATACATTATATACATTTTATTATTCATAATTATAATTTTCAAAATTCTATTTTCAATAAGTCCATAACAAAATAATTACTTCAAATAATTAATAATTTTACTAAAAAAAGTAAATGCCCTCCTTAACTATTTTAAAGTTTATGAAATATAATAGCAAGACTTTTTTTTCTTTAATTTGTTAAATAAAATTTTTTTTAATAGTTGGAAATAATTTCGTACATGGAAATTGTACGATTATATCAGAAATATTGAAGGTAAATTGGCTAAATCTATTGCTAAAAAATTGCTTTTGAAAGCGGAAATAATTTAAAAACAATTCTTAGAATTAAGGTTGTACATTCTGAAACAAGTTTCCCAAGATGGGCATAGTTATAAAAATTTTTGTAATACCTTTTCTATGAAAATACAAAATCATTTTAGATCCATATATTGAGTTAATAAAATTTGTAAAAAAACGTATTGGAGAATAACTTGAGAGCAATGAGCAGTTGACTTCTGTGCACCTGAAAAATTAATATACCTTTTTCAAAAGACTTTTTTTGTATTTTTTTTTTAAATAAATGCAGAATTCTTGGCACATACATTTTTATACTTATGAATTTTGTTTGGTTTTAATTTTCTGAAAAACAATTAAAAAATATAATAATTTTTATACAAAGTTCAAGTATAATTCAAGATAATTCAAGAATTAATTCAATTTTACTTTTCAATAATTAAAAATTTTATTTAATGACTCTTATAATTTAATATAACTATTTTAAGTACATTTGTCGCTTTAATAAAAGATTAAATGTGAAATTATCTTATTGGTTCTTGTTTCCTTTTGGTTGTGATTATACATATTGCATTATTATTATTAAAATTAAAAGTAAAAAAAACATTTAATGTTCTTTTCACAGTTTTCATAAAAATTTCTTAATATTTATTTACAATAATTCAACAATGGAATAAGAAAATTCATCACATTTTCAAATCTTTTTTCTTTCTTTAATTTACAATTTTTTTTTTTGATTTTTCTTTGTTTTATCTCTAAAATATTAACATTTTTGTTTTTTGAAAGCAATTTTATAATGGAATTTAATATTATGGAAATTATCTGAAATATTTATTAGTCTCTAAACCAAAGCATGCACCGAAGAAACGATCTAGTGAGTGATATAAATGCGGTCTCATACTACCTAAACTGTGATCTTCATCTGGATAGCTCTGAAAATAAAACAAGAAACAAATATTATAATAAATAATTTAAAAATTCAAAATTAGTAATTATCTATGCTCTAAAATAAATTTATTTGTGTAAATAATTAATTATGAAGGATTAATTCTCTATCCTAAATTATGGTTCGTGAGACCCAATTCTATACAAGTTTTATTTTACTTTTTGGTTACAGACAAATAGGAATAATTTTCTTATATAATTAGGAATATTTTAGATATAATAGAATAATATCGAAAAATAGATATTTCCGATATTTTAAAGATTTTGCTAATGATTTGATTCCACAAAAAATACATATATTTTCTATTATAGACCAATGTAAAGAATGTAAAGAATGGGCAACAATGCATCGCGACTAGCTTAAAAGATCTGTTGTGCCCCCCAACTAGAGGCCTGATGAATTCGAATAATTTTGAAGGCTCTTGAAGCACGTAGTTCACTAGTATTTCTCTTTTCCTGCGCATGAGGGCACCAAATTCCCCCAGAAAGTGTACCGAGGCCTCCTAGCCCTCCCTTCAAAATCGACAAACACTTTCATTTTTCAGGGCCACTAAGGTGGCCGCTAAATCTACAGTACCCGGTCAAGATATCGGCGAGAACTCTCTTCTATTCCTAACCCTATGATTTTTCAGCGCTCCGAAATCGGTCCGATTCTGCAGAAGACCTCCCGTCCAAGAAGAGTTTTCCCTTCCTTGCAAACGCTTCGATCGCTTCGTTCACTTGCACATCCACTTGTCTACCCAGCAAAGTGTAGCCTGGTTGCATATACCCAATTTGTTGAGCCTCTCAAGACAAACCCACACTATCTCGGCGGATACTGAGATAGAATTCAGCGCTCCGATAGCAGCCTGAAATTCCGACATGATCAACATTTCTTGACCCCGGTACCCCCTTTCAAGGTTGAACTGCACACACATGCCAATGGTCTTCAATCACAGGTCTTTAATCCAAGCTCCAAAGGTCTTTAATCCATCCGTGCACTACACGATTGAGTGTGATTCGACTGGGTAATCCACGAAATCTCCCCTCCAGTTATTTCTGTCGCTCAGTAACAATGTGAAGTTTTTCTCGAAGCTATATCTTCTAATCATATCATCCCTAGGAAGTGCAATGAGCGGAATCGTAAAAAATATAAAGATGAAAATTTTATCACAAAAGTTAAGAGTTTGACAAAAATGTTTAAAATTATTAAAAAAATTTATTTAAGCTTTGTCTTCTTATCATACACATGAGCACAAGTGTTGAATTCCCTCATTACATAATAACTCCTTTGTATACGTATACTACATGTGAACTTGTAAAGACACAAATGTAAAATAGTCTAGTAGAAATCATGAATTCTGCTTAATTTTGCTATTTATGTTTAAAACGTTGTTTGAATAAATAATTTTTATTGTGTGCTTTAAAATGGTTCTTAATATCCTTGGCAATTTAAAAACGAACATATTTGTAGCATCGGAAGTATTGTTTTATCAGTTTTTAAGTATATTTTGTTATAAAGGTTCAGAATATTGTCGAGCATTTAATAATTTATTTTCAATAAAATAAATTTGAGCTGCTTTAAAATGTGGAAAATCTGTGAAAGAACACTTACAATTTGCTTAAATAAAATATTTGCACGTTCTAATGATTTTATTAACATTAGTGATTGTTGATAATGAACGTTGTCATCGAAAGTACCGTGAACTATAAGATATTTTTTATTTTCAAAACTTTTTGCTAAATTTGTAAGTCTTGACTTTTCATAACCATCCATATTTTCATTTGGTCTTTGCAAATATCTTTCCGTATAAATCGAATCTAAAAGAGATGTTATAATTTATATGATTTTCTAAATGCTACAAAATAATCATATAATTTAGTTTCACCATAATAAAGCCAATCGGTTACTGGTGCCACTGATGTAGCGCATTGGAAAATATTATTATCATCTAAAGCTAACGCTCTACCAGAAGCATAACCTCCATAAGACCAGCCCCATATTCCCACATGTGCTGAGTCAATATAACTTAAATTCTGATGTAATTTGCTTTAAATTATAAATTAAAAAAGAAAATAATATTTCATATGTAAATATGCACGATAATTTTGAATATTTACCTGGCAACATTGATTTGATCATAAACTTCTACTGTACCTAATTTCTTATAAATGGAATGTGCTAATTTATCACCACGCAAACCTGATCCACGACCATCTATCCGTGCATAAATAATTGACCGATTTGATGCCAAATATGAACCCCAGTCTAAACTCCATTTGTCTGTTACAGCATATGAATCTGGGCCGCCATATACTTCAATTAGCATTGGATATTTTTTAGAGTGATCTAAATTCGGTGGCAATTGTAACTGAACTTTGGCAGTGAAACCATCATCAACATCAATTGTTAAAATTTTGGTTGTGGGTAGTGCAACATTTTGTAAAGAAGTTCTTATACGATCATTAGTTTCCCAATCATACAGTTTTTTTAAGTTAACATTTCCTATAGAAAAAAAATTTAAATTTAGGTGTTTTTCATTTTTTTCGCAATATACAATAATAAAAGTTGAAATTTTATAAAGGCCATTGTTAAAACGCGTAAAGAAAATTTTGGCTTTTGTTCGATTGAATAATCTTTCTTTTCCTTTTATTCATAGAGCTAGTCTATTCATATTTTTTTTTTTAAATAAAAGCCTTTGAATTTCAAATCAATTCAAAAACTTTTAAAATTATGTACGAATGAAAAACTTTATTTAGCAGACCAAAATAAAATTAAACTCTTCTAAATTGATTAAGCACTTTAATTTTTTTTTGTATATTATTTTTTGGCGAAATTATTGTACATTTTATAAAATAATACGTTGTGGCCTAATTCAGGGTTTTTTTATTATGTACAATTTTTAAATCCAAGCTTCCTTTTGAATTATCTTAATTATAGAAACCGTTACTTCTTTTTTGGAAAAGTACAAAGGACGCTACTGTGGCAACTGTAAAACATTATGGTGCAGGAAGAAATACAATTGCAGATAAACTTGAGTCGTAACATATTAGGTACGTAATCTGACGTAAGATTTTTAAAAATCTTAAATCCAAGTTAAAAAAATAATGCAAATAAATTCAAGAACAAGACCTTTGTTCTAAATAACTTTGTTCTAAAACATGCATAATCGAGTTCATTAAAGAATAACAATGGATTTTTTCAGTTAAGACGTATTAAATGTTCAAAAAAATAGCATTGAACTTAAAAAATTTATGTATGTATATGGTTTGTATTGTTTTGGTTTTACTTACCTCCACTGTATGACCATTGGAAAATATGAACACTTGGTGGATTAGGCCCCAAAGATGTTATAATAATGTTTTTGCCGCAAGGACTAAAGTCAACTGAGAAATAAGTTTGCTCAATTTCTGAAAATTAATAACCAATTGAAATATCTATAAAATTATGTATATATATAGTTACTGTAATACAAATTTGGCACAATTTAAAAATATGCAGTGCAGTACGATTCGATTTAGATTATATATATAAAGTCTTACATTCTTACCATTATATTTAATTAAATTACATGTTAAACATTGTGGTTTCCCAGTGTTTCTCTTGGATGACGATGCTTTAATTGCATATAAGTGTAACGATTGTGATTTTTCTGGTGTATTTGCCATGTAGAATATTATATTGTTATCGTGATCCCATTTTAATAATGATTGTACAACATATTTACCAGTTGTTAATGGATATGGTTTTTGATAACTACCAGTTGTCGACAATAGTGATAAGTGCCTATAATCACCATCTTGACCACCTTGATTATGTGGTAATATTAAGGCAATTTGACTACCATCTCTATTAATTAAAGGTGATGAAAATAAATCAACCCAACCAGTTTCTGACTTAATATTATAAGTTTCATGACGTTTTTTTGTTGTTAATACTTGTAAATGTGCATCGTTTTGTATTCGATTCATAAATACTGAATATAATACTTCATTATTTAACCATTCAACACTTGTTATAATATGTTCTTGTGTGTTTAATGCACTTGGAACAGGAACTGGTGATATTGCTTCCTCAACAATTGCCGAATTTTCTAATACCATTTCTAAATCAATTGTTTTTAAACTAACAAGTGGATTTGGAGTACCCGATTTTGGATATGATACATGTTTATTGATAGGATATTGATACCTAATATCACCCGGTTCACCATATAGTTGTATATTCATTACAAAGGTTGGACTATCATCAAATCGAATATATGCAATTTTTGTACCATTTGGATTAAACCACACAGCTTCATTACTACTGAAGACTTCTTCTTCGTACACCCAGTCAGGTATACCATTTAATATTCGTTTTTCTGGATCATCATCTGTTAATTGAATTTCTGCATCTAATGGGGTTTTTTTATAATATAAATTTCCAAAGTAATTAATTATTAAACTATTTCCTGTTGGACCCCATTTAACTAATGCTAAACGCTCGTGGTTCTCTTTAATTTTTATAGGTGTTAATATTTTTGTTTCTAAATCTAAAACATAATATTTTGCTACAAAACTGTGACGGAATAATTTGTATGATTCTTCAGCTATTAACAAATATTTTCCATCGGCGGATTTTGTTAATACATCTCGTATTCTCTGTTAATAAAATAAATAAAAATTAAAATTTAACAAATTTAAGATTTAGAGAAACTTACATTTACTTCCATAAGAACCTTCTTACTGTTAGTTAAAACATTCAACTCTACAACTTTCTGTAAAGAAAATTACAAAAGATATTTAATTTAAAAGCGAACATCAATCTGTTTAGTGCTTTGAAGAAGATTAAGATGTTGCTTGCTTGAAAAAATAAAGAATTTCCTTACAGGACTTCAGAATAATTGACATCGGACGAAAACAAACGAGCCAAGCCAACAAAAATTAAAAAATTTTTATCCTCAAAGTGAACTTGACCTATCGAGTCACAATGGTAAGTCACTGTTTTTAGTCTAGTTTAAGAATTTTTTTTTAATTTCTAACTCCAACACTCGTTCCTTTGTCATGCAATCTATCTGTTCAGAAGTTGTATGGGGAAATTTTCCCTTTATGTCCAATAAAAATTTAATATATTTCTTCTAAATGCAAGAAAAAACTACTACGAGTTGTTGATAAAGCTTAAAAACCGGTACTAAGTACAGTCCATAAATAAAAAGAAACACGAAAGCGTCGAGCAGTTTATAGAGAACGATTTGTTAATATGAATTTTTGTTACGATAATTGTAAAGTACTAGTAAACCTCAGTATATACTTACGTTTCCTTCTACAAATGAAACTGTATCACATCCTGACCATGTCATATTTTGTTTTCGCGTACTAAATTTACCCACTAAAATATCATTTAAAGATAATTTTACTCTAGTATCTTTTTCATCGGGCAAACCGTCAGTACTGGCATTAACTAATAATATCACAGCAACAGATATTAGTGCACCTATTACAATTACAGATATAATTGACAATATTATTCGAATATTACGAATTTTTCTAGTTGAATAAACTAATCCCTGAAAAGAAAAAAAAAGGAGACGTGAAAAAAATTAAAATTGGAATTCAAAAGTAAAGCATAATTTAAAAAAATTGTGTTAACAAAAAAAAATTTATAATAGTATTTTTGACTGGAAATGTCCTTAGAATTGAAATTCTTTTGTGCTGTAATTGACAATAGAAAATTTTAAGTTATATTTCTTTTTAATAAGTTTTCTATATTGTTATGTTTGTTTTGTATCTTCTCAGTTAAATTGTTCTAAGAGTAGGAGCGAGTTTAAAGCCATGTAAAGAAGACCATGTACAATTTCCAGTTATGAGAACACGAGGCCAGTTGAGCGTTTCTATTTATATATCTTCGATTGTCAGGCAGGGGTGTCTTCTATCACCGTTCGTTTTCTTAGCGGTGGTGGATGAGGTAATGAGAGGAGTTAATAAGATGAGAGGTATCAAATGGGAGTTGACTAGCAAATCATTGTACTACTGTACAGCTGTGAAACATGTTTGACTGACACACGTATATCAATAAAGCATCAACAGATGTCTAAGAATAATATGTGGACTAATCTGACCTAGAACAATAACAAACAATGAAGCATGGGCGATTTCTAGCCAGAAACCTATAAAAGCGACTATAAAATAAAGTAAGTGGGGATCACTGGAACACACGTTACGGATGTCGAATAATACGTTAATCAGGTAGGAATATTAGATTGAAAGGGGCCCAAAACCGCACTGTCACTCAGCACATACGTCAGCTGACGACAGGCGTCCCAAGTCAAGGTGGAACAGCATATGCCGATGACTGCGTGGCTAAGGGGGAGCTTAGTCGTTAGTATGCGGACTCTGGATACCAGGCGTCCTCCAGTTTAAACGAGCCTTCCCATGGTATGCCGGGCTCTGCCATGGGTGACTTTACTTTCCCGCGCTACTCGTGGGACTAGAAATGGAAAATAACGACAACAATAACAACAGTGACAACAACAACAACAATACTAAGGACAACATACAACCACTTAGTGCTCAAGGGTCTTCGGAACCAGAGCTTCTCTTGACTGACGCAGAGGAGGAACTCCTTCTCACGCCAGTGGAGGAAAAGGCGGCGCCTCCGATGGAGACGGATAATCAGGATCCTCTTGGACCTATTATCCAAAAAACTGAGGAGGACCTGAAAAGGTTGGACATCAGGGGAAAAAAACAATATTTCTCTGGTGCATCCAAGCGGCGTATCGCGGCTTATATCAGGGATGGCATGTCCCCAGAGGAAGCTCGCAGATATGAGAAGGAAAGGCTGGAAAAGCTGACGGCCTGCGGATCGGGTGTTGTGGCCGACCATCCCCAAAAGAGGGAAAGGTCGGAAAGCAACACCCCTGATGCAGGGCCCTCAAAGAAGAGGTCGATGAAGGGCAATGTTGAGGGAAAGGTCCCTGGGAACATTCCTCAACAAAACCCGAAAATGACTTCTTACCGGATGCGGTAGCACAGGTCAAGGTGGCCGTCACTCATAAACTGCATCCTGAAGAAAGGCTATCCGAAGTCCAGATGGGGAAAATCAAAGTAGCCATGATGGATGAAATGGATAAAGTTGTGGATTCTCATCCACAATTCACTGCAGCGTTGCAAAGAGATGGATGGATATCCGTAAATGCAACAATCAAAACACCAAGGAGTGGATAACCAGTGTCTGCAGGAAGATAAAGCCGTCGTGGTACTGGATGGCGACGACATGCCCAAACAGCATGTCTGCGTCACCTACGTACAAAAGGACGAGACAACCGTCAGTCTCTCCAGGGACAAATTTCTATGTAGGAGAGGGAAGCAAAATCCCAGCCTCAAGATAAGTTCCTGGAGGGTACTCAGGATGGATAAGGAAAAGGACGGGGGCTGCTTTATCACCTTTTCCGTGGATGATTCCGGATTGGAAGATCTACGGAAAGCGGAGTTCCGACTTTTCCTGAATTTCTTCCGTGTTACCGTTCGGGTTAAAGGAAGAAAATCCTCTCAAGGTGCTGGCGGCAGGGCAGGACAAAATAAAAAACCAGTGCCCACCGCGACAACGACGAACACTTCAGGCCAACCAAAAGAGCCAAAACTCATTGGAAAGTCTGAAGTCGCTCCGGAAATGGCGGCAAGGGAAACGGAAGGACCATCGACCAGCACGCCAAATACAAGCGTCCCGGGGGAACCAAAAGGGCTCAAGCCCATTGGGAAGCCCGGAACTGCTTCGGTATTTGCTGTTGGAGGGGCTAGCGTAGCACCTGGGACGGCCTTTGTCTAAAGCCTTTGTTTAAAGGGCCAAAGCCCATAGACAAGAGCCGGAGGAAATAATATGGCTGTGAGGTGCATCCAAATAAATCTACAGCATGCTAGGGCATCTACTGATGTTCTGGCTCATAGATTTATGAAGGATAGCCTTGATATCGCCCTTATCCAAGAGCCTTACATAGTGAAGGATCAGGTTAAGGGCCTAACAGGTGAGCTATTGTATGATAATACAACTGGGGGCAGGCCTAGGGCTTGCATCTTGTTTAGTAAAAAGCTAACGTATTTTCCCATTCCAGATTACTGTTCTAAGGATCAGGTAGCTGCGTTGGTGAAGGTGAAGTCCTGCGGGGGCTGGACAGAGTTCATTGTGTGCTCATCCTACCTCCCGGGGGACTGTGCCCACCCGGACGAGCAACTGAGGGATCTAGTGGACTTTTGTGGAAGGAGGAACTTCCAACTTATAATAGGAAGTGATGCCAATGCCCACCACACCGTCTGGGGAAGCAGCAATATAAACAAAAGAGGTGAGTGCCTACTTGAATTTATATACAGCAATAAATTAATGATTATGAATGAGGGCAATAGGCCGACGATAAATGCAATTAGGGAAGAGGTCCTTGACATCACCCTTTGCACTGAATTTATCGGCAGTAGGGTTGGTGGATGGCATGTCTCAAATGAGACATCCATGTCCGATCATAGGCAGATTAGGTTTGATATCATGGTCTCCGGGGGCCTGGCAGAAGAAATTTATCGGGTGCCCCAATCCACAGATTGGAGTCAATTCGAAACGCTCCTCATGGATGGGATTAGATCCGTTCCTGCTTCTGTCAGAATGGTGATGGATATCGAACTGGCCAGCGAGGCCCTGACGGCGGCTATTACTAATGCCTATCACGGGAGCTGCCGTGCTAAGCCGAGGCGGAGCAATAGGAAGTGCTCGTGGTGGAATGAAGAGCTTTAAAGGCTTAGATAAAAGACCAGAAAGCTATTCAATAAGGCCAAGGCGTCAGGTTCGTGGGAAGAGTATAAGGACTCACTCACAAAATACAATAAAGAAATTAGGAAAGCGAAGAGAATCTCGTGGAGGGCGTTCTGCAAGGGCATTGATGAACTCCCCAGCAGTGCGCGTCTTCACAGGGTGCTTTCCAAAAAGTATGCTAGCGGGTTGTTCCTAATGGAACGTCCTGATGGCTCCATGACTGAGAACGGAAAGCAGACGTTGGAGCTTATGGCGTCAACGCACTTTCCTGACTCGGAGATTCTTCGGAACCACTCAAATGCAGTCATCGAACCGGGGGCACCCTGGCCCAGGAGGGATGACTGGCAACGATCCCGTCTAGTCTTCACGATGGGCAGGATTAGATGGGCTGTTTTCTCTTTCAGCCCCTTCAAATCTCCAGGTGATGACGTGATATATCCTGCATTTTTGCAGAGGGGTTTCCAACATATCGCTAGAGCACTGTTGGGAATTTTTCGTGCCAGCTATGCGTGGGGCTACATCCCTCAGGCATGGAGGGTGGCTAAAGTGACGTATATTCCGAAGGTGGGTAAGCGACCAAGTAACCACCCAAAGTCTTTCCGTCCAATCAGCCTTACTTCTTTTCTATTGAAAGCAATGGAAAAAGTGATTGATAGATTTATACGGGACGGTGCACTGGGAAGCAATCCCTTGCATGAATCTTAGTACGCCTATCAGTCGGGAAGGTCTACTGTACTCGCTCTGCAGAGTCTGGTGGGGGTCCTTGAAAACTCACTGGAAGTGCGGGAGGTAGCAGTTGGCTGCTTCCTTGATATAGAGGGAGCTTTTGACAACACCCCATATCATGTCATCTGTGAGTCGTTGCACAAACGAGGGATTGATGCGACCACTAGCAGATAAGTCAATCGGATGCTACAGGATAGGATTATTAAGTCCACCATAGCTGACGATATACTCTTCGTCTCCGCTGCAAAAGGATGTCCGCAGGGCGGGGTTCTTTCGCACCTCCTGTGGTCCATTGTAGTGGATGATCTAATCGCTGCTCTCAGGGGCTCCGGGGCGCGTGTCTGGGGATACGCTGACGATGTGGCCTTCGTCGTGCGGGGAAAATTTGAGAGCACTATTTCTCAAATTTTCCCCGCTGTTGAAAGTTGAAAGGTGGTGCAAAGGCGTGGAGTTAAATACGTATAAATCCAAGCAAGAGCACTTTGGTCGCCTTCACCAGACGCAGAAGCAGGGACAGATTAACGAGCCCAATTCTGTTTGGTGAACGTATTAGTTACTCGAGGGAGGTGAAGTATCTGGGGGTAACCCTGGATGATCGTCTCTCTTGGAATACCCATATCGATGGAGTTATCGGGAGAGCTACGGCGGCCTTGTGGACGTGTAGGAGCTTCATCGAGGGGACCTGGGGAATTAGTCCCAGAATAGCACTGTGGCTATATACGGCCCTTGCTAGGCCCATCGTCACCTATACGTCGATTGTATGGTGCCGTAAGGCTCAGCAGGCGGGTTTGCGGGCCAAGCTGGAAAAGCTACAGAGGCTGGCCTGCCTGGGAGTGACCGGGGCGATGCGGACTGCTCCCACCGGTGCATTGGAGGTGATGATCGGATTGCCGCCACTGCACCTCCATATATTGAAGGAAGCTCGGCTGATGACTTACCGACTTCTCTCTGGCGAGGACGGGGCAGGGCTAAAGTTGGCCCACAGAACTCACAGAGACTTCATTGAGGGCGATCCGATTCTAAGAATAACCATGTCAGATACCTGTCTGCCGCGGTACAACTTCGACCACAGGTACAGGGTTCTGTTTCCCGATCGATGGACGTGGGATAGGGGTGGTCCGGTACTTAGGTCGGGTTCGAGCGTGTGGTATGCGGACGGGTCCAAAACGGAGTCGGGTGTGGGTTCGGGCGTATATGGTGTCCGCCCGGACACGCGTATATATGCAACCCTTGACCCGTATTGCACAGTGTTCCAGGCCGAAATACATGCAATAGAGATCTGTCTGAGAATCAATTTGGAAAGGGGGTATAGAAACCGCACCATCTATGTGTTCTCAGACAGCAGGGCTGCGCTGCTGGCACTCCGTTCAGCTCAGGTTACATCCATGGTCTGGAGCTGCCTTGCTGCACTTAGGGAATTGGCATCGGAGAACAGAGTGATGCTCATTTGGGTGCCGGGCCATAGTGGTCATGCGGGCAACGAAGTTGCCGATGGGTTGGCGCGGAGGGGATCTGGGGCTGCCTTTGTGCAGCCGCTGCCTTTCTGCGGTCTGCCTTCTTCCGCCGTGGGGGCCAGGCTTGCCTGCCTACTCGCGGCGGAATGCGGCCGTCACTGGCGGGACACAAAAGGGTGCCGTCATGCGAAGGTGTTTCTTCCGGCGGGCTCCGGCGGATTCGCCGCGGAGTTGCTGGGGATGAGCACTAGTCGGGTTCGCACTATTGCGAATTTCTTCACGGTTCACTGCCCGGTGAAGTACCACCTGCATAGGCTGGGGAAGTCGGGCTCCCCCCTGTGCAGATTTTGTGGGGGTGGCGATGAGACCGCCGTGCACATTTTTTTGTGGGGGTCCCTAAGTGTTCGGGAACTGTTGTCCAACTCCCTTAGGGATATCTCCGGCTTTGTGATTGGGACGGGGATATTATAGACGGGAGAGTGGGGTGGCTACAATAAGTCAAAAATGGCTGCGGTGGCTTGGGGGGATGCTCCTGTCCCACTCGGTTCCCTTAGAATCTACAATCTACAATCTAGATTGAAACCCACAGGGGAAAAGGAAAGTGGGTAGTCCACGTAACACACAGTGACATACCACGCCGAGGCCTAATCAAAGGGAATGAACAAACCAGAAAATAAAACTAAAAAATGTTTATATATTCTAATCTGTATTTTTTGAATGAGTTCTTAATTTTAAAATTTCGAAGACAATTTGATTGGCGATTCTTAAAGTCTACAAAAAAAAATATTTTGAAAAATTTTAAATGCGTTTCCTGTTACTCAATTTTGCAATTTTTCACACGTTTCGTTTCACTTCCTGGCAACAATTTAAACAGCAATTGTAATAATTAAACAGTTGCTAGCATCTTTATATGAACAATTTATTTAACATTAAAATAAAAATGTCCTGTTTAATTTTATAAAAGATTTAACAACCATTTTAACTATATTTCATAAATTATATTTTTCCTATCCTTTTTTCCTTTCTACATTGTTTGAATTATAGAGCAACGTTCTTTTTAAAGTGAAAACGATTTTAATTTGTTGTATGATAATTTGTTGGGTATTTCGGAATGTATTTTTTTTTCGTAATTTTATTTTGAAGATAAAAAAATACTTCAAATTCGGGGCTTAAAGTTTACATAAAGGATTATAAAAAACTGGCATCTTTTGTTAGTTTTGACCAGTCGTCAATTCAAAGATGTTTATGGTAATGTTTTAAAATGTTGAGCGAAAATATTTTCAATTCTTAGCAGAATAAGTACATATTATGGTATTCGGAAAATATCCCGCAAACTTCCCGACATATTATCAATGACAAATTGTTGGTACCTTATTACTAGCAGAAATATTATTCAAATACGAGTATAATCATTTTTAATCGCTGTTGTTTTATAATCTTGAAAGAATAATTTTTTGTAATTAACGCCACTTGATATTTTTATGCACCATAGTGGCAATAAAAAGACTTCTTAAAAATTTCTTTTATTTCTTTAAACAATTCTCAATAATTGTGATGTTATATAATAATATTACTAGTTAACATACTTGTACAATATATCGGCCTTGATGGTCCATTTTAGGTTCTTAAAACTTTTTTTTAATAAATTCACAAAAACTAATTTGACAAAATTTTTAAAGGCGAGAAAACGGAAAACTAAAACAAAAGATGTTTAAGAAATTTCCAACAGAGTTGTTTTCCTCATAATAGTTACTAGAGAGGAATTAAACAATTTAATGAAGGTACTAGATGGTTAATTATATAAGTTTATGGTAAAACAATTATGTTTAACATTTATAAATTAAGATTAAATATAATTAAAGAGAATAATAATAACCATAGAACCAATTTCGTAAAGTACTTGCATTAATTAAAAATATTTCAATTTACATTCTCAAATTAAAGTTTCACAAATTAAAATAAAATGAATTTTTTTATAAATAAAATTATAATGTTTTTACATCACCAAAAAAATATATGAAATTCAGTTTCTAATAGGTTGACGTTAAAAATTTTGTAATTTTTTTAGCACTTTTCCAAAAATTTTTTGAAAAAAAGTGCTTATTAGTTTCACTCTGTCCGTCCGTCCGTCCGTCCGTCCGTCCGTCCGTCTGTCCGTGTGTCTGTTTACAAAACTTCTACATTCTTAAAGATAGAAAGCTGAAATTTAATACGTACATAGATCTTTACTAGAAACTTATTTTCGCAGAACAAAATTTTTACCTATCTCCCCCCCTCTAGAAGTTATACCCCCCCAAAGCACTAAAAATGGCCTATTTTAACTATTTGTTGCAATGAAACCATAAGCATTTTTGAAATTTTGCAAACGCAGAAAGGCAGCGGCTTGGTTCCCCTACCGCGGTATACTATAGTTAAACTTTAGAAAAACAAAATGGCCGTTCAAATTTACCGTTATCTAAAGTCCGTTTTTTCCAAATTTTTGATATTGTTTTTCTTCTAGACCCCAGCCTGTAGAAGCTTGAAATTTTAGGGACTTTTAGACATTAACAAATAGTTCAATTCGTTAGAAGAAAAATTTTTTCCATCTCCACCCCCTCTCAAGTTATCGCCCCTTGAAATTTGTAAAATTTGCATTTTTGACACCTTATATTTCTGAAACCGCAAGTTTTTTCAAATTTCTACAAACGCAAAAAGTTAACGGTAAATTCCATGACATTAAAAAATATAATTATTTTTCTTAACTCACACAATTAACCCTTAAAATCGAGCATTATGTTAACCCCTTTTTATCTTAAATTTTGCTTTATTTCAAAGACTGCATAAATGGTTCATCCTGAACATATGCAATCCTACGTAGAACGAGTTTCGTATATGAATGAAAATAAATTTAATAGTGTGGTGGATATACATAGACTGTTTTTAAAAGCAGTATTTTCACTTGTTGAAGGGAAAAGTGCTACAATACAAACCATTGGTTTGACCCAACTTTATTTGTGTTGATATCGGATGGAAATTTGTTTTGGTGATCCGTTTATGATTTTCATTAAGAATTCAACTATATACCGAATATTATTGTAAATTTTGGATATCCCAAGAGACTATCTGACGTTTTACAAATTTTTTTTTTTTGTTGTAGTTAGTCGCAAAATTTAAGAGAAAATCGTACCACGGTTTGAAATTTTTCAAAAGTTAAATGAAACGGAAGTTAAAAACAAAAAAAAAACAAAGAAAAAGATGAAAATTCTTTTTCCGATCTGTGAATAATTATTGTTAATTTTTTTTGTGGAAACATAAAATTTAATAAAAAATGAACAAGCAAAAGTAAAAATTTCCTTATTAATTTACATTTTGTAAAGATTTTTTATAAGTTCTCGATTTCTCGTTCTTAGCTATGCATAAGGTCTAATTTAATTTAAAAAAAATCCTCGATGGAATAATATTTAAACGCAATGTTTCTAAAAATTGATAACTACTAAAGTAGATTCTATGATAATTTAAGCATTTGATGAAATAAAACCATTTTATTATGTGCTTATTTAATATTAATAAGTCATTCTTTTAATTTAAAAAAGAGTAATAAAAATTACTAGTTCTTCAATCATAAAATCGAATTATAGTTAATAATTATAATTAATAAACACTGCGACAAAATACTGGATAAATCAAGTAGATTGTGAATTCTTCCGTTTCAGTACGAGTCCAGATAGGAACTCCAGATCCTGATGAAGTCGATTCTTGTAAACCAAGTCCGCCAATATTTTCCTTCTGCTACTTAGGAGAAGCATCACTCAATCTCAAGCAACTAATCAATCGTATAGGGTTATGTTTTATTTATGTAAATTATTCAAAATTGTATACAATTGTATACAAATTGTATACATAAGTAAATGTATATACGGAAGAGATTTTCTGTTCAATTTATTTCTTCATGATATTTATTTCTCGGATTGAATTGCTTAATAAATTTTAATAAAAAAAAATTCAATAAAAGTTTTTTGTAAATATTTTATTTATTTTTGAATGTTTTTTGTAATATTTCTATTTTTTTAGTTACCTGACTATTTTGAGCATTTTCCACAGTTCCATTATTACCACCAGTCATTTTGATGTTATGTTTCATGTACAAAATACTGACAATTAAGTTTAAGTCAGAATTTCTTCTCTATTCTTAATTAATTAATATTGAGGTGTTACATTTATTATTTACTAAATTCAACTTTATTTCTTATTCTTAATTACAGAGTAATTTATAAATTAAATCTAAGATTTGATCAGTTAAATTGACTTTTTTAATTGTGTTTACTATTAAAGTAGCATAATAATTCAGAAATCTTAATTAATGAAATATTTAGTGTATAGATATTTAAAACAAAATGTTTAAAATATTCGGAACAAGATTGAAAAAAAAAAATCTAAAAAAATCTTGAAAAATGTATAATATAATTTTTTGAGGGGCGATTTTATTCTCATAACACAAAAGAATTACTATATATAGAGTGAATTTTATGGCATGCATTTATTACATATAAAAAATAAGTTTGGATTATTAAAAGTGTTATCCATCAATCCATTAACCGAAGTCATATTCAATCTGCAGTGCATATAATTTTAAAAGAACAATCTTTCTCGTTTATATTAAGTATATGTAAAATTGTATTTCTTATATACAAACTTATATGTATGTAAAGAAATTTTATATATGTATAAGAGGAAAATAAATCTATTCATCCAACTATTTTCATTGCAATGGATATTAAATCGCGTGCAATATAAAATACCTTCGCTTAAAAAAAAATAGATACATATTTATTACCGCAATAAATAAAAAACTAAAAAAATTAAATCGAAAATAAAAATCAATTATAAACGAATAAACCGAAATTAAAGCACTTAAAAGCACTGTTTATTGCCATACGAACGTATTTTCGTAGGCTATACTAAATTTGCTTTACCGTTTGTAACGCTAAGAAATAATTGTCTGAGATATAGATCCAAGTGTATGTTTTGATCAGCATCGAATTCTGAGTCGATTTCTCGTTGTCTTTCTGTCTGTCCGTCCATCCGTCCCAACGATAACTTAAAAACTAATTGAGCTAAGGTCACCAAATTTTCAAAAATGGTTTATATTAAATACCAGAACCCTATTTAAATCGGTTATGATCGGGTTCTAGTTCGGGCACCTGCCACACAACTTCCAAATTTATTTGACTATATTTCAGAAACTATAAAAGCTATGACATTGAAATTTCACACAAGTGATTATTTTAGTAGCGTCAATGTGTTTGATAAAAGTTGTTGAAAGTGCTTGGTTAAAAAAAGTTGTGGTATTGAAATTTCACCCAAGCGATTCTATTAGTAGGGCCAATGTGTTTGACGAAAGTCGTTGAATTACTTGGCCCCTACTGTTAGCTGACATACAACTTAAAAATTTATTTGGTTATATCTTAAAAACTTTTCAACCTATACAGCACTGAAAAATGAAACACGGTAAAATGGCAGCTATATTCATTAAAAGTTGTTGAGATCTCATGAGCACTTGTGATAGCTGCCATACAACTCAAAAAGTAGCTTGGCCATATCTTAGAAAATATTGAAAACGCAGTACTGAAATTTTGCATAAATTAATACGGCAACTTTAAGTCATAGCCAACTATGGAATACTTACTCGCACATAGGATAACGAATTCGTACGGGGACATCGCAGAGTGGACACGTTCAACTCTATTTTTTTCTCGTTTAAAAGTAATTTCACATAAAATGTTGAAATATAAAAATCGATTAGAAATGTTAAAAAAAGCAAGTTGAATTTTTTTCAAAACCACATTATACCTCTCAATAAAACATCAATTTCGCTTATAGGCAAACTTATGGTGGTTTAATTTGAATGTATGCATACAAAATGTATGCATCTTTTGTTTCGTTGTAAAGTGAAATAAAAATTCCCGTATTCAGTACAAGCGTATGAAAATGAATTTAATTTTGTAAATACAAAATAATAAGCAGGTGAGTACGAAATGGTTATATACGACCATATAAACGCCACATACGAATTATGAAATTTTCTGCGAAATGAAGCAAATTCGTTGTTTTGTTGCAGCTTCAAGTACATAAGTTCAGATTTGGATTCTGAATCAACATTTGTTTAAGAAAAATTTCTTCAACACTGTAACAAGTTCACATTTAAACACATAAATATATATGCGTATAATAGATTTGCAATAAAATTTTGAAAGTTTTCCTGCGAATTTCAAAGTAAGATCTCAACAATTGAAAAAGAACATGTATTTCAATATTTTTAAATTACAAATTATTAATGGTTCCACTTGTAATGCAAACACTTGTCGGAATGATTTAATTTCCAAGAATTAATAAGATACTTTGACATAAATTAAGAAATTCAAAAATCGTTTTGCATAGTTTCTAACCATTAAAATAACTTTAAAGATTTAAATTCATAAAAATAACCTTAAAACAAGTCAGAATGGAATGTAAAAAAAATTTTGATTTCCCGGATGTAAAAGAAGGAAAAATGTTAAATTCCATAATATGTAGAGAGTAGAAAAAAAAATTTACAATAATTCGAATAAAAAAGTTTTTATTTAAAAGCGTTGTGTTTTTCTTTTCCAACAAAAATTACACAAAATAAAACATATTCTTATTTTCCAAAACTTAATTTACATATTTATTGGCATATGAATACGTGTCCGAATAGTGTACATTGTACAAAAATAAAATACACATCCTTATGAATTTATATGTGAATGTGTGTGTTATGAGAGCAGATATAATATTCCTATCCAATTTGTTTCCGTATAACTTTTTCATAACTCAATTCCAGAAGATAAATTTAAAATTAATAAATGTTAACTGTTAATATGTTTAGATTGCTGCGTTTAAAAGTAATATAATTGAAAAGAGGATTTGTGAAAAACAGCTCCAGTATTTACGAGATGAAAAATATGTGAAAAACTGATCAAAGTCACAATTTCTTTTAGGTTAGAATTGCAAATACCGCATGATTAAAGGATTCGATTGGCCCCCAGCTGTTTTTTGTGTTCATCGCAAAATAAACATTCTAATTAACGCAAAATGATGCAAAGTTAACCTAATGAAAAATTAGGTATTAGGTAATTTATTAACATAAAGAGCAAAAAATTAGGTAATTTATTAACATAAAGAGCAGTTGCCAGTTGACAACGAGAAACTGAAAAAGCAATTACAGTCTTCCCCCAATAGCAAAGTAGAAAAAGTTTTGCCATTTATTAACAAAATTTTAAAATAGGCTTACGTATTCCAGCTTTACTTTATTTTAACTCATAAAATTTTGGAGTTTAATTCATGTTGAGTGTTTTTAGTTTTTGTTCTTTGTACAATGGATTTGTCCATAGGTTGAATGTTTTCATGTTTCTTTTCTTTTCTGATGTAGCGAAAAATAAAAATAAATAAGAAAACATCAAAAACCAGATGAACTGCAGAAGCATAACCAAAAAGATGTGTAAGGGAATTCGAATCACTTTGGCGGTTTGTAGTTGAAAACTTTTTTTATGTTTTCAATTTTTATATTGTTTCAGTTTTTTTTTTTTATTTTTGTTGATATTTCGCCCAAATAATACTTTGTAAAAATAATAGCTGACTTGCAAAATTTTTCTTTTTAAATACGCTATATAGTTTCATATACTTCGAAAATATTCGGGCTCCTCTATATATACACATACGTCCGTACATAAATATGTGTGTGTGGATGATGATGTTATATGTTTTTTTTATTGTTATTTGAATAGTCTGAGAATCCATTGAAAAAGGATTTTATTTTAATAGGATGTGCAAGATACAAATAGCGATTTTTCCTCATGTAAAGCAAAATAAACGTAGTTAAAAAAATTTAAAAGGAAAACAAGTATTAGAAGGAAGTCAGATTATTTATAACGTTTGTAAAATGGATAGAAAAGAGGGAAAAAGGATAATAAAAGTAATAAATTTTTAAATATTTAAAATTAAAAAAAAAATTAAAAAAATTTTCTGATGCTATCACTAAAAAATACTTTGCAATCATAACAAGTAACAAAAACGTTAAGGAAATGAAAAACAATATTTTTCCAAAATTGGTTGTCCGTTTGCTATAGTAAAAATGGTATGTAATATAAATATAGTTGTCGTATGTAATGGACTAAGTTATCGCAATATGGGCTCGTATAAGTAGACACTTGTATAAGCGCGAGTCTGAACCCGTATTGCTTGGTTTTTCAAAATGGTAATTAAGATTCGCCTGAGAGTAATCTTTAAAAGGCAATATAAAAAAAATGCACCATCTGTGTTTTCTCATATCGGCTCATTCGACATCCAAGCTGGGTGCTCGCACTCGTGGAGCTGGTATCAACAAAGGAGGGAGGGATTGTTGCCAATATAGGTCAACTTGCCATTTTACTTGAGGGGGTATTGAATATTACCTGGGAGGCTACTACGGAATATCATCATGCAAACTGTACCTTGTATTTTGTTCAAAGAAGTTTTTTCTAGAACTGCTGAAGATGGATCGAAGTCGGATTCGTGCTATTACTGGCTTCTTTATTGAACTATTGTCTGCTAGAATATCATTTGAATTTGTGTTTTTTACGCCGAAACGATGAGTAAGTGACCATATATATTTTGTGTGAGTTTTCTGCTCTGGCTGTCAAAAGGTGTGGATGGTTTAAGTGCAGCTTTTTCAGTGTTGCGGAGCTCACATCTAACTCCCTTAGGGATATCTCCGGGTATTTACTAGGGACCTGGGTATTATATAAGTGGAATATGGACGGAATATAATAAGCCATGGCTGGCTGCGATGATCGGAGGGGGGAGTTCCTTTGCTTCAGTAATCTACAAACAACAGTCTACAATTTTTATGATTTAATTTCACTTCGGACTTATGTTTCAGGGATTTATTGGGACAAATGTGTAATGGAATTCAAATAATATTAATAAAAAGTTCACATATAAATTAATTGATTAAAGTCTTTAATTTATACTTATAATCTATCTACAGGATGTGACCGCATAATTTGTAGCTGCAAACGTAATAAAGTTATTTATGAAAGAAAACACCAGCAAAAAACAATAGAACCTATAAATATGCTAAGTTGTTTTGTTGACTAAATGTGCTGATGTTTGAAATAATTGATTTTGCATCTTTCAATCACCTAAAGGTTGGTTTCCCTTTTTTCTGAACAAATAAGAAAAATTTTTTTAGCCATTAAAAGTGAAAGTGCTTAACGGTAAAAAGAAAGTTTTTTAGAAAGAGGCAAAGAATTGCCTCTAATGTTATT